CAAAATGTCAACCAAGAAAATTTACATTTTTAATAATTTTGTTTCTTCTTTGTATATATATTTTTTCCTAACTCAAAATTAAATTAGATAAAAATATAATTGCATCTCTTATATATGATTTTAGGGGTAAACATTCCCATATCACCGGATAAAAAAAATGTTCCTTTTTTTTTTTGATAACACATACACATGTAAACTGTAAAGTATACATTTCTTATCTATATGAATGAAGTATAAATTTATCCAACACATACAAATTTAATAAATCATAAAAATACCACGTGGAACTGTAACTATAATGTAAATGTGACACAATATACAGTCAAAACATTCATCATATTAATTCCAACTTATATAGGTTTTATATAGATTCAAGCGGATATGCAAAAAGAAGTAAAAAGAAAGAATCCTACATCTATTTCACAACTTATTACTTGTTATGTACATAAAATCATCTTATTCCATCTTAAAAGGATCCTTTCATAATTTTATAAATAAGAATTTTCCATATGGATGATAGTAAAGATTACGTTTCCCATATTTGTTAAATAAATACATATATTCTTATCTTGTAATCCTATAAATAAGAAGCCTAAACGCTTTCTTTTCCTTCATCCAAAAAAGGGTTACCAAACCAAATTAAAGAAGAAAGAATGGCGTCTAGGGTTCTTCTGATTTTGTGTCTGTCTTCTCTCTTCTTCTTCCTCGCCGCTTCCACGAAGGAATATCCCAGCCAAGCAAAAATCTTTGACGTCAGAAACTATGGTGCTCACGGTGATGGCCGAAGAGATAACGCTTTCTCGTTTACAAAGGCGTGGAACGAAGCTTGCCAATGGAGTAACGGAAGATCAACGGTCTATATTCCTCCCGGAATATTCTATCTCCGTCAAGTAACGTTCACTGGTCCTTGCAAAAACCCTATTACTTTTATTATCAGAGGAACTTTATTGGCTCCTCGTAATCCTTACGCTATCAAACAAGATGAATGGATACTTTTCAAGTACGTCGATAATCTCACGGTTACTGGCGGTGGATTACTTGACGGCCAAGGATCTTATTCTTGGCCTCTCAATGATTGTAACAAGAACACCAATTGTCGTACACTAGCTATGAACATTGGGTTTGCTTTTGTTAAATCATCGAAGATCAACGGTCTAAGATCTATCAACAGCAAAATGGGACATTTCAACTTATTCTCGGTCGAGGATTTTAACATTACAGGCGTTACCATCACTGCTCCTGGAGATAGCCCTAATACCGACGGAATCAAGATCGGGAAATCTAGCCATATGAATATCTTCAACGTCACTATCGGAACCGGTGACGATTGTATCGCAATCCTTGACGGAACCAGCAATTTGGATATCTCTGATGTCAGGTAAATATAACTCTAACTCAATCTCATCAGTCATCACTAGCTGTGCAAAATGTTACATTGAAATTTACTAAAGAAATAATGATGAAGGTTTTTTTTTAATTGAAAAAAAAAGAATTAGAGGAAAAACAATTTAGTTTATTCTTTTCCTATGTAGTGGGTGATTTGTTTCCTTAATTTTTTCTTCTTTGTTAGTCTTAACAAACTTTGAATGAGCTGGAATATTTTTCTTTATTTTAGATAACTGGTAAAAATTGAGAATAATATGTTATTTCTTCTGCATTTTTTTCTCTAAAAGTGTAGCTATTTGTAACCTTGATCAAGCTAAACCTCATTATCAAAACTTCACTTTATAAAAAGACTTGATTACAATGTGTTAAATATAAGTTATGATAATATTTTCGAATATTTATATGTTTATCAAATATTTGACCTCTCGATGTCTTCCAACACTAGGTGCGGACCAGGGCATGGGATTAGTGTCGGGAGCCTTGGGAGATATAAAGAGGAGAAGAACGTCCAGGGCTTAACAGTCAGAAACTCGATTATCAACGGTACAACTGACGGTTTACGTATCAAGACATGGGCTAAGTCGGTATCGCAGATTTCGGTTTCGAATTTCCTCTACGAGAACATCCAAATGATCAATGTTGGAAACCCTATCGTCATTGATCAGCAGTATTGTCCACACGGACAATGTGATAGTCCTGGAAAGTATGCTTCTCATGTTCAGATAAAAGACGTCAAGTATAACAAAATTTGGGGAACTTCGACAAGCAAAGAGGCTTTGAAGATGCAATGTAGTAAAGCGTTTCCTTGTCAAGACGTCGAGCTCTCAAATATCAACTTGAAATACGTTGGACGTGACGGTCTAGTCACGGCTTTGTGTGAGAACGTTGGTGGATCGATTCGTGGCAAGATTGTTCCTGCAAATTGCCGGATTTGATCTTTATTAGATTGTTGGATTTTTAGACTTTATATAACTTTTTTAGGACTAGGATTTTATTAGGTTTTTCTACGATGCAATACTGAGGCTACTAAAACCTAATAAACATCCAAATAATTTAAAAATTTGGGATGTGAATGGTTGCTGCAGTTATATGCATCATTTATAGGAAACGAAAAAAAGAGTTGGTCCATTTAGATTATGACCGACCTTTTTTTATTCATTTATAGTAATATACATTTTCTGTTATAGCTAGGAAAAAATCTTGTAATTATTATTGATCAATTATTTTATTTGCTAATTCTGATTATTTATAAATTTTTATATGATTATATCTTTTTCATGAGGTATTAAACTGATCAACAGAATATAATGATCGATACCATGTACAGTATTTTCAACTTTGTAGACAATAATAAGACACTAGATCATCACCCGTACTAAAGTACGGGTTGAATTTTATTTATTATAAAATTTATATAATATATATATTAGAACTAAGTTTTAATATATTATAATAGTAAGTGAAAAAATATTAATTTTGTTGTCAGTCCCTATATACAATATTAGAATAAATATAGATTTTTTTCTATAATACTCAATTATGGATAGTACGGGTTGAATTTTATTTATTATAAAATTTATATAATATATATATTAGAACTAAGTTTTAATATATTATAATAGTAAGTGAAAAAATATTAATTTTGTTGTCAGTCCCTATATACAATATTAGAATAAATATAGATTTTTTTCTATAATACTCAATTATGGATACTTTTTTTTTAAGATATGAAAACGGAAAATAATTTTATTTTTTAAAAATAATATTTTTTGAACAATGAGTTAATATATGTTAACGACCACAAAATAGGATTGCATATATTTCAGTTAGATCAAAAATTAAAATATCATAAATAAATCGCATATAAAACATAGATTATTTTGAATTAATTAAGAAAATTAGGTATTATTTTGAATTAATTTAGAAAATTCTTTTTCAATTCATAATTCTTTGGTTGTTGAAATAGAGATTTGTTTGAGCTAATCTAATTACAGAATTTGTTTGAGATTTATAATTATGGAATTTACCAATTATTCGCATAATCGAATATGTTATAAACATATATTTAGTATATAATCATACCAAAATCAACCCGTGCGTAAAGTCTATATTTTTATTTTAGAATCTCAATATTTCATTTTAAAATATTGCATGCACAATCTCTTATTCGTTAATTCTAAAATTGATTTCGGAATCAAATTTTCAAATATTTAGAGGTGTCAAACCATATTTAAATGTTCTACACTATTTTTAATATTCCAAATTAAAATCTTTAATTTTTTTTGTAGTTTATAAAATTATGAATTTCAAAAAACAAATTATATGAAATTAAATATAACTATTCAAATAGTTATAAGGATCAAAACTCATTTAATCATATAATATATTATATTTAACCCGCTACCTATTATAAATATTTTTCAAAATAATCAAATTAGAGTATTTATAATTTTTAACTTTTTGAACTATTAAGTATTGATGATTTTTTGAAATTTATTATTAACTTTTTGAAATTTATTCTCTAAAAATATCAAGTAAAACTTATTTTAAATGTTGCAAATTAAAATATTTAAATTTTTATTGTAGTATATAAAATTATACATTTCAAAAAAATAAATGTATGAAATCGAATATAAATATTCAAATTCTGACATGTTGCTCAGTCGGAATTTTTGTTGACTTTATTTTTGTGTGAAAAAAATATATTACTCAAGTCTTAATTTTTGACCCGTTTAATTGTTTCCTTTATAGATTGAACAATTTATATGCGTTTTTAAAAATTCAAATCTTGGCATATGCAGAAAAAAATTTACATTTATATTTATTATGTAGATAATATGATAATATAATCATATAAAGTTGAGAGGTGAAGTTTAATGATTAATAACAAATTAATATGGTAAGTTAGATATCAAATCTTATATGTTCATTTTGATTGGTCATTTAAAAAAAAAAATAACAGATTTTCGTTTTATAATTTAATTAAATTAATTAAATGACATGAATTAGTATTTTACTTGTTTATCCTTAATAAATTGAATGAAATTTGTTCTAAAAGAAGATTTTTGTAATGGCATTCTTAAGTAAATTCTTACAAAAGGGAAGGTTAGTTAAGGGTATCTTATAAAGTGTACTCCCCAAATAATAGTATAGGATGATTTCGTGGGGGCAAAAAATATCAGTGATTTGATTCCTAAAACAGTTGATTCTGTTAGATAGAAAATAGAAGAAGCAAATTGTATTCTTTCCATTTTTTTGTTTTATTCTAGTTACTCAAATATTCTTTCCATTTATTTATTATTTACTAACAAAAATGTTTCTTGCTCAATAATATTCAATTTAATTATTTTCCGTATAAATATAGTAATAATATACTTATATATTTAAGTTTCACTTAAATATAATTTTCTTACACTGAATATCATAAGAATTTGAAGATTTTACATTAAAAGGGGATAATGGTGGGATTACCCGTAGTATATGATTATGTAATTTTAAATCTTTTGTCAACAACGTTTAGGAATCATATTTAAAACTTTATTTTAACTTTTGAAACTTACATTGAATTTCTTTATAGTTACACTTTGAATCCTCCATTTTTCTTTTCTTTTAACTAAGAACAAAATTTTATGATTTTATTTCAATCACAGTTTATACGATGAATGATTTTTATGAATGTTTTTCCTCAAATAAATCTTTTTTTTTTTTTCTATGATGACTATACAAATCATATTAATCTATTCATTAATCAATTTCGGAGTAAAAAATTAAGTTAAAAAGACCCTTTTTCACGGCGGCGCCGGTGGAGGTAAATCACCGCACGTGGTGGACACAATTACTTTCCCAGCACGTTCTCCGGACTCTATAAGCATCAACACTACTTCTCTCATCGTCGGTCGATCCGACGGCGAAGATTTCGTACAGAGCACTGCAATTTTCGTCACTGTGATCATGTGATTTAGAATCACATCGTCCTCTACCTTGGTTAAATAAGGATCGAGGATTTCAGATGTTAACGAATGATCTCTGATATGATTTCTTGTCCATGTGGCAAGATCGCCGCCTTGCTCAAGCGGCTGAACCGGAGGTTTTCCGGTTAACAATTCGAGAAGTACAACTCCGAAGCTGTAGATATCGCATTTCTCTGTTACTTTCATTGTGTATGCATACTCTGTAAAAAACAGTTAAAAAACGGTTAGATTTAAGTTTGTGTAAACTTGAAAGTTTTATCTGTTTTTTCAAACATACCGGGAGCGATGTAACCGTAGGATCCAGCGACGGCTGAGACGGATTTTGATTGTGGCATGTCGATGACTTTAGCTAACCCGAAATCTCCAACATGAGCTTCGAAATTCTCATCAAGGAGAATGTTATTAGATTTGATGTCGCGGTGAATGATTCTTGGTTTACAATCATGATGTAAGTAAGCAAGACCTTCCGCTGCACCGAGTGCGATAGCAAACCGAGTTGGCCAATCCATGCTATGCGATTTCCCGCCGTGAAGTAACTCGCCAAGGCTTCCCCGAGACATGTACTCGTAGAGCAAGAGGTTTGAGTTTGATCCTTGGTGGTAACAGAAACTGTAGAGCCTGACGATGTTCCTGTGACGGATTTTGCCTAGTGTTAGAATCTCGGCGCGGAAACTGTTATCCGTGTTGTTGTTGTTGCCTTCTCTGTTGGATTCGAGTTTTTTAACTGCTATGGTTTTACCCGAAGGCATAACCGCTTTGTAAACGGTTCCGCAAGCGCCTTTACCGACAATGTAGCTATCGTGGAAGCCTTTTGTTGCTTCCAAAATGTCTTTAACTGTGAATCGTTCTTTAGGGACAAAGTAAATGTCGGATTCTTGAAAAAAGGGCTCCTTGTCGTGCACATAAGGAGCCGTTGGTTCCACAGGATTTCTTAGGAAATGAACGACAATAGCTATGAGTAAAAGAGAGATACCGCCAATGACTGAAGACACAATGATGATGATTCTCCCGCGACGAGCAGAACCCGCTTTTAGAGATGAAAGGTTGGGCCAAGAGGACTGGTTAGGGTCACAGCTTCTCAAATGGCCGCCACAGAGTCCTTTGTTTCCGAGAAAACTGGTTAGAGTCATGTTTTGAAAGAGCTGCGTATGCGGAAGACGTCCAGTGAGGTTGTTGTATGAAAAGTTGCAGCCGAGTAAACTGGATAAGTTCTCGAATGTGGTTGGGATTTCGCCACTCAGATGGTTGTTGTTCAGAGATAGGTACATTAGCAGGTAAAGATTCCCAAGCTCGGGAGGTATTTCACCACTGAAATTATTGTAGCTCAGGTTCATTGCAATTTGCAGACTCGAGAGTAAACCGAGTTGAGGCGGGATACTTCCTGAAAACAAGTTTCCTCCCATCTGCAGCTCAGTTAGATGCGTAAGGTTTCCAATGGTAAACGGTATGTTGCCAGAGAATCTATTTTCTGAGAGTCTGAGGATCTCGAGCTGATGAAGACTTCCAAGCTCGCAAGGTAAAGAACCAATGAAACTGTTCCGGCTCAAGTCAAGTCGTTGAAGCATCTTACAGTTAGCTATTTCAGAGGGGATTGGTCCGGTGAGAGAGTTTGAGGAAACGTTAAATGTTACCAGGTTGGAGAGTTTACCGATCTCTTCGGGTATATTTGAGGAAAATTGGTTAGCTGCAAGATGAAGTCTTTGCAGCTTCTGGCAAGTGCCTATCTCAGGAGGTAGCGGTCCGCTAAACCGGTTTTGATCCAACTCTATAGCAGAAAGGTTGACAAGCTTGCATAACTCGGTCGGGAACTGACCAGTGAGTCGGTTTCCAACAACACGCAGCTGCAGCAGCGATTTGCATCTCAATACACCTGCTGGAATGTTTCCAAATATCCGGTTAGACCCGAGATTCAACAGAATGAGATTAGCTTGTTGACAGATAAAAGGCGGTATTTTCCCGGAAAGTTGGTTCTCTGAGAAATCAACAACCCATAGTGGACTGTACAAACCAAGACCTTGAGGGATTACACCGCTGAGGGAATTGTGGAAAAGCTGAAGTTGGCGCATAGACGTAAGATTCTGGAAACCCGGTGGAATAGGACCGGTTAAGGAATTGATGGAGAGATCGAGTTTCGCCAAATTCCTCAACCTACTGAGCTCATTTGGTATGATTCCAGTTAACTTGTTCTGAAACAAATACAATAGCCTCAACTCACTGATCTTGCTTAGCTCAACCGGAATCTCACCACTCAACAAATTCTCCGAGAAATCGATTTCCATTACTTTGGAAAGCTTTCCAAGCTCCTTTGGGATTGTCCCATTCAACTGGTTTTGGTAAAGATAGAGCTTCTTCAAGGACTTCATGTTACCAATCTCTGATGGTATCGGTCCAACCAATGAGTTATCGTATAAAGCCAAAGTCTCAAGACGTGCTAAATTCCCAATCTCTTTCGGAATTGACCCGGAAAACTTGTTCTGCCACAGAATCACCTCCTGAAGTTTAACAAGCATCCCAATTTCCTTAGGAAGCTCTCCAGAAATGAAATTCTGCGCAAGACCGAGCAACGTCAAGTTAAGGCATTTACCAATTTCAGCAGGTATATTCCCAGAGAAATCGTTCTGCCCTGCTCGAAATGTCATCAACTTGTTGAGATTTCCTATAGAACGAGGCAATGGACCGGTCAAGTTGTTAGTATAAGCCACAAGCTCTTCCAAGTTGTATAAATCACCAATCTCTTCTGGCAAAGGACCCGAAAGCTTGTTATTACAAATGTTAAAACTTCTCAACTGCGATAACTTCCTAATCTCAACCGGAATCGAACCACCAAACTGGTTATTGTTCAAAAACATAACCTCCAGCTTCGAACAGTTTCCAATCTCCCGAGGAATATCTCCGGTTAACCCGTTATACGCGAGATTAAGATAGACCAAGTTAACCAAACCACCAATGCTCGGGCTTAATATCCCAGAGAGATTCATAGAACTCAAATCAAGAGATGTCACCACCAGATTATCACTATTATTACTGCCCATTGAACTGCAATTCACACCTATCCAATTACACGGCGTCTCGTCAGTACCATTCCAGTTATGCAAACGGTTCAACGAATCTTGAAATCCTCTGTTCTTCAACTCCAAAAGAAACTGACCATCACTGTTTAAAGACTCTGAAGTCCAAACCATAAGTGTCAAGAGAAACAAAACCCCACCAAACATAGATTTTGATCCTCTCTTAAACTCAGAGATCCACCAAACCATTGTTCCTCTCAACTTCATTCTTGATAAAAAGGAACACTTTACAATCCTCAGCACCTGCAATTACAGAGAGATTCACATTTCTTTTCACACTAAAGTAAAAAAAAATCAAATCTTTCCAATTTAACGGAGACGCTAAAATGCAAAACTCAGAGCTTTACGCAGCGAGGACTTAGATCTAGCATTGGAGTATGATTAATTTAGATCTGAAGAAAGTACTACTAGGTTTCAGGATTCAAATTATCAGCACCAAAAAAAAAAAACCAAAATTTCAGTGAATTTTAAATGAATGGAAAGTAGAGAAACGAATACGAAGAAAACTTACCAATGTGAATCCATAGACGAAACCACCAAGCAGTTGAAGCTGCAAGAAACAAAAGAATGGAACCTTTACGAAACGAACTAAAAGATTTCAAAAAATGTCAAAGCTTTAAGATTTCTTACTTTGTGCACTTGGGGACAAATTTGAATATCGCAAAAACTTTCTCTTTTCGATTCCTTAAGAAAAATTCAGGGATTTGATAGAATGAAACCAAAAGATACTGTTTAGGAATCAACAAAGATCATGGTTTTGATCTGGAATCAAGAGGATTCAGAAACCCAAAAGGAACTTTAAGCTCCACAATCCCAAGAATTAAAAGAGAGAAACTAGAAAAGGTAAGAAAAAGTGAAGATAGAGAGAGAGAGAGAGATAGTGATGAGAATCAATTAGTGTATATTCCAATAAGGATTTTGATTTATGGGAAAGAAGGATAAGTAAGTTTTTGCTTTGGCTTGTTGAAGTTCTAATGGCCGACAAGGCATGCCTTCTCTCTCTACTGTGTGTGGGTGGTTTCTCTCTCTCTTTCTTCTTATAGTGATGAGAAGAAGCTTGTGGGTTTTTTCTTCTTCTTTTTTGGCCATTTTCTTCAGTGCCAAGAACATCAATTTTCTAATTGAAAAAGGAAGTTGTGGGAAAAAAATAAGTAGTAGAAAGTGGCAAACTTTTTTAGGCCAAAGAAAGTGAGAGAATTTTTTATTTTCTCAGCAAAATCTTTTCCCAGGACTAGCTTTTGGAGATTTACCGATTGAGACAGCTTAGGTTCTGATTACTTAGACCGGATTGTTAGATCATGAATTTTCTTTTTCTCAAACTTATAGGTGATTGGGATGAGACTTTGAAAATGTAAAGTCTTTAACTTTGTTTTGAATTATTTAAGTTTCAAATTTTCTAAAAATTTTTTTTTTTAAAAATTAATGTTAAATTATATTCAAGAAAAAAATAAACTTGTTTACACTTCAGTGCATACTATTTTTAAAAACATAATTGAAAAAACAAAGAAATGAGAATTTATCTTTGTTGCTTTGATTCGAACCAAACTTGGATGTCTCCTGCATATTTGAGATCTCATCCACTCTGAATTGTGTTTAGCCGGTTTCTAATGTTTTGATCAATCATTTTTACCAATCTCTCACATGGAGATGGGTCTTCGCCATGTCGTCTGCTGTTTTTTTTTTTCGAATGGAATGAATAGCGTTTTGAAAGATGTATCGCAGAATGAAGCACTTTGTCTTGTCTAGGCCATTACCGATGAAACAATTTTTTTGTATTTTACTAGCCCTAAAATTTTTGTTTAATTTTCTAAGTCCAAGTATTCATTTTTTTTTTCACCTAAAGCCAAATAATATATGCAGTAGATCTTTTTTAAACAAACAAAAAAAAGCCTAAATTCACGACCAATCGACACCAAATTTTGAGAATTGCAAACCAATCCCTTAGCTTCTAAATTTCTACTCCTAAACATTACTATACCGTTTACAAAAAAAAAAAAAAAAAAAAAAAAAAAAAAAAAAAAAAAAAAAATTACTATACATTCTCTTCAAAATCACAATTTACTTAGAAATTTCTGTATCTTTGATTAATTACATTATTAGATGTATATTCATATTAATATAGTTTTAAGTCAAATTCAATGGTGCAAGACTACAAGTCAAAGTCATACGTTTATTGATAAATATTAAAAGAAAGATATTTAAATTTTCAAGAAACAACTCTTCAAAAATTATTGATCGTTTACTTCAATTTGGTTGTCTTATAAAATTTTCTTGATAATATCAAGTTTGAAATAGAATTTAGAACATTGCTTTGAGTTAAAGGAACGATGTAAAATTAAAATTATGAATTGACAACAAATATTTGCTTTAAATTCCCAAAAGTCTTCATAATTGTTTGATACATTACCGAATTAAGGACAGCATGATGTGACTGGGGAATATGGGTCCAACGGGACGATCGGGAGAAAAAAACTGCTCAGTGAAAGAGACTAGATCATCCGATAATCACCGTTTGATGTGGAACTTACTTAACTTTTCTATTGTCAATGGAAATACTAAACTAAACAGTTTTATAAAAGTAAAAATAGAAAAGCTAAAATTGATCTCTGATTTGATATTGTGAAACTCTTCTGTGTAGCGTTTTAAGTTAAGAGACCACCAACTTTGTAAAAATAATAAAAATTACTGAAAAAAAAAAAAACCTTAAAATAGATTTACTTATTTGTTACAATTCTAACCCTTTTTTTTTCAACCATACAATTCTAACTTTAGAAAGTGATAAAAACATATGGAGGTTCATGTTGCTTGACACGAAATGATTAAATTATAAGAACAGAAAGGGCCTTTATTCTAACGGGGACCCCAAAAACCTTTTTCGATAACATTTTGGTATAAGTAAATAACATTTTACATTATAGTTGTTAGATTATCCCCACTGGTTAGAACAAAATTAAAGGCGGCAAATTTAAAAATGAAAAGTGAAATATTTAACAAAACCAAGTGGTTACTTTCTTAGCATGTGCATGATAGTTTGGATGTATTGGAAGATATAGGTCGAATGAATCTTCTATGTGAACTAATAATTTACTGAAACAATGAAAGACTATAATTTAGGAGTGACTATGTATGCAAACCGATAAAGAATTTCGCTAAATATAAGTATCTCTATACTATTAAAAGAGAAGTACAAATGAAAATGGGTCGGGTTAAAATCAGAAAATTGACCCGAAATTCTGAAATCGGATCTTTGAAATTTTTTTGGAATATAAATTCGAATTAATAATGAAAAATCGAAATAAAATCAAATATTTATGGAAATCAAATAAAATCTGATTGTACTTATGGTAACTAATAATAAAAGCATATTCCAAATAATATTATACATTAATTACGTATAATAAATTTGTTCATATATTTTTGGGACTAATTCCATAACAATCAATGTTTTTGTCATTAATTTCGCTCATTTTAGCCAATTATCATTAATTGAAAGATATTTTACTTGCTTTAAAGATTTCTAGAAAATTTTTCACAAATAACTCATCTGTTTTATAAATTAAATTGATATTTTTATTTTGGTCGTGTAAATTAAATAGATATTTTTATTTTGGTTGTGTAAATTAAATAGATATGAAATCCATGTAACTAATTTTAATTTAATTAGATTAAATCGAAATTATGATATTTTCATACCTATAGCTTACCAAAGAAGTTTAATTTTCAATTTATAAAGATTTCTTGAATATGATTTTAGAATTATTCAACAAGATGATAAGTATTTATTAAATTTTGTGAATCATGAAAAATAATAATTAATTTTTAATCATTATACTTCATCTTTCAATCTCTCATCTAACAAATAAGATACATATTCTATTATTACTATGTCCAAACTTCATTTTATTGTATGACTAAATAATATTCCCATTAGAACTGTCAAAGCGAGTTGATTCGTTCCGTTAAGTCCGTTTTGCGATAGACAAAAAATATTTTGACTTGTGGTTAGTCGGTCCGCACGACCCGCTGATAGCATATATGAAATACAAACCCGTCCCGCGAATGTATGCGGATTTGCGGGATTGTCCATGGATTTTGTTTAAATAATTTTAAAGTAACCAAAATTTAAAATACTACTAAAATAAATAAATAAATCAAAATACTATTAAAAGTTTGTTTAAATTACCACATGTTGAATAAGTTATAATTTTATCAATAAATACTAATATGCGGGCTAAACCGCCAACCCGCGGATGAAAACCGATTAAACCTATGACCCACTGCGAATTAATCCATGTGGCCCGCTTATTTGCGGATTTAATATATTTTCCCAAATCTGCCCCATAGTGAGATGATGTGGGCTCGACCCGCGGTTTTTGACCTATTTTGACTGCTCTAATTCCCATGAATCGTCTAATTTTAGAATTTTAAAACACAAAATTATATTTTGTAAATCATAATTAATACGATGGGTATATTTATAAACAATTTTACATTTTCTCTACAATTCGTTATTATGAATATTTATAAGTATACTATACGATTCGTTCTACTAAAAAACACACAATATTAAACGCAACGTATGTAAACCAATATTCTCCCGCGGTGGACCGCGGGTCCGATCCTAGTATAACTGATAACAAATTAATTATTGGTTCGAAGTCTAAATCGAATCGTCTGAAAATAGATTGTTTGCATATACATTTAATTACATATAAAGAAACTATATATATTTCAGCTAAAATCTAATATCAAAAACAATTTTTAAGAACGTCAATAGCTATTTAAATTAATACTATATCTGTTTCAATTAAATATCGGTTTAACACTTTCACATGAATAAAAAATAATAAAGCTTATATTATATTATGCTTTTACATAATAAGATTAAATCTAATATAAAATTAATTTTACATTTTTATTAGTTCTAATTAAGAGCAAACTTGATATTTTCTTACAAATTGTAAAACAAATATTAGTCTTAAACGGATGAAGTATTTGCGTATTTGATAGTTCGCATATCAAAATTTTCTTTTGTTAATTTGTCATGTGACATAAGATTTCTATCTCTTTTGTGAGTTGGTCCATGGCCACTATGACTACATGTATATCCAATCAAGTCAGTTAGGTGTGATATTTGACATTATTTAAAATGTTCAGCCAAAATGAGAAGATATCCACTAGGAGGCTAGCTACTCTCTAAGCTACATTGGTCACGCTTCTCTTACTCTTTGTTTTCTTAAGGTGAAATACAAAAGCTGGTGGGACTTTAACCCCTAGAAACTAAGCCGGCAGGACTTTAACCCTCAGAAACTGAGCCCCAAACACGGGGAAACAAGCAAAAGAGAAAAACTAAAACTAAAAATATCTAAACACGATTCAAATGATTTAACACAGAGATACAAATTCTTTATTATCCGAGCCAACCGAAATCGCAAAACTAACAGAAAGTCGACGAAGGAGCTGACTACCACCCAGAAAGTCTCTGATCTACATGTCTCACTTGTTAATTAAGAGTCTTCAGAAGAAAAACTTTGAGATACTTTGGATGACGGAACGGTGGAACCTTGGCCAAACTTGCAAAAATCGTCGGAATCGCCCGGCCGAGAATGTCAACTAATGGACATGAACCGGTATAAGGACCCAAACCTAGGCGGATCCCTTCTTCTTTCTTCCTTTTCTTTACTTAATCGTATATCATAAAATCAAAATATTTTGCTTCTTTTGAATTGAATGGGCCACTTCAAGAAGTTAGGAATATAATATGTTGATGTAAAATCGTTTGCTTTTCCTAACAAAGCCTTAGTACCAAACTTTTATATTACTATATATCAGTTTGTGATATGAGATATCTATGAAAATGTATTTTATTATAAACTTTCAATAAGACCCGTGATATGTTTGTCATCGTAGTTTGATAGTAGAAGAAACTCATGGCAAATGATCTTAGCAATCAAATCAAGCCCACAATACAAAATGTCGCTATATATATATATATATATATACCATTTTGCATAAACAAATGTGTTTGGTGGTTAAATATTATAATTACTCGATGCTAACTTATTATATACAGTCAAATAGTTAAGTTTAAGCAGCCGGAGTCAAGTTTATTCTCGTTAACCCAAAAAAGAAAAAAAAAAAAGAATAACGCGTCGTATTTTTACAAGATCGAATGACAATTTTTATACTTTTGAGAAATTTGAATTGCATGTTTAGAATCATTTTCTTGGATACAATAGCTTGTAACGGAGACATACGTATAAGTATTAAAGTAATCAAAATAATTTCACATAAGCATCAATCTCGAGATAACACTTTAAATCTTATCGAATCCCAAGCAAGAAGTCATTAAACAAAATTTGTTTTATACCATCCAACGATTACGCAGCGTTGTATTTAATAGAAATATAATAATAACAATAAAATGATATTCAAATTAACAATAGTTTATGTTACATGTTAGTTAGAATAACCAGTATATGATTAATCAAGTTATTGAGAACTTCTTTATCGAAGTTGCTTAGAAGCTCTCGGCGATTAGATCTGCCAAGCTTTGACTCAACATGCGTCAATAAGTTAAGATTTTCATTATTTTATAAAATACTTGTTTTATGAGCGCATATCATCATCGCCCACTTAGCTTGTTTTTCTTATTACACTTCATAAACAAGTAGAGATTTTCTAGCAAACGGTATATTGTTTAGATAGTCATCAACATGAATCTTAAGTATATCTATAATCCATCATATAATATATGATTATTGGAAAGAACAATTATTATAGCTATATACATTAATAAACGGATATGCTTTGTATTTTTGTTGTATCCGAAAGATATAGAATGGTTGATCCATGCATGATGCATCCAATCTATCATGAATTGAGCATTATTTTTAATATAACACCATTCAAATTCTAGCTTCTATATGAAAATTTATTCACAATCTAAAGCTTTGAATGAAACCGTACATACATGGATATATAATGTACCTATAATACATATACATACACTGATACAAACGTTTCACGTATAAACACTGGCGGATCCATGTTGAAGGATGAGGGGTCATCTGACACCCCTTAAATATGTATAGTAAAAATTATTCTTAGTAATTGTTATTTATTTGTAGCTGATTTGGTTTAATGCAAGTATTTTGACCCCCTTTTACTAGGTTCGATACTTTCAATTATTTCATTAATTATTATTTTTGTCTTTTTTATAATGGGCCACAGTGACACGTTCCATAGTGTAACTACAGACTTTTTGTTTTGCCCTTCTTCTCTTTAGTGTGTCCATTCAAATTGTTTGAAAATTATATACCTAACTTTTTAACCAAAGAATGATGATAAAAAAGATGTCTAAAGACAATTTAAACTTAAGGATTTTTATTATAAATATACCGTTTTTATTATAAATTGACACCAGTTAAAAAAATTTCTGGGTCCGCCACTGCGTATAAACGTACTCGTTCATCTCTCTGTAGGAGCCAAAAGCGTGTGAACGATATATATGGTGGATAATGAAACCCCACACATGTCCATGTCACCTCCAATCCAATCCCATTTTTTCCACTATACCATTTGTAACCACGTGACTTGTCAAAGACTCCTATCATTCAATAACACTTACAGTGTATTTGTATTTACAGATTTTATTTCGCCATTCTTATTTCTATTGGTTTCTACTCTACAACGTTAGATTCACAAATAATGAAAGTTTGGTTAATTAATTCATCAATTTATCTATATATATATATATATATATATATATATATATTTATGTTGGTCAAAACTTTTTTAATTGTATTACATGTGTTGTGAGTTTTGTGACTTGAGAGACTTGAGACTTGACAAAAAATGTAAACGGTACTAACAGTATAACATAATGGGTTTTAACAATTACTGGTAAGCCCATGATGTTTTGTAATCCTTAAGCAGTTAAGCCCATCTATCTGCAGATTTCGATTGAAGTGAAAAACGACCGGTTAATGTTTTGCCACGTCACCAGCAACATTATCAGAAGTCAGAACCCATAAGTCCTCGCCAGTTGGTCAGATTTTTTGCGATACAGTCGCCATGGAACTGGTGGCTCTTCCGATCCACCACCGTACGGGTTTGTCAAAATTTCCACCACTTAAAACCGGATATCCATTAGTTAACCGGATTGGACTAGCTCTACGATTCAGCAATGTTAGAATGAGAAAGCCCGTGTATTTAGGAACGATCTTAACGAAGAAATCCAGAGCAAGAACACTAACGACGACGGAAGCAGTTTCCGGCGGAGGAGTTTCGCTTCCGCCTCTGGATTTGACGGAGGATAATATCCATCTGGTACTATCCGAAGCTCGTATCGAGGTAAAGCTTTCTTCTAACCGTTTTTGCCTAATTCAAGATTGGTACGAAATAAATTCAGAACCGGTATCGATTAAACCGAATTGCACCATCGTTTCTGGTCCGATTTTCTTCCTGCTTGGTTACGTTCGTTAATTCGTTTAAACCGAAACTGTAACGAACCGGTTCTAGGTCACATTGAGAGATTGTGTTCCGCATGAAAAAAAAACAGAGCATTGTTGCTTGTAAAGGAAACAATCTTAGTTCGTTTTCGGTTTTTAACAGACCTAAACTAGAGTCTAGAGGTTCCGATTTTGTGAATTTTTGATCAAAAATCATGTTTTGGTAGCTAGCACAACTCTTCGACTCATCGGTTGGGATAACAGGACAAGTAGAGTTAGTGGAACTAGACGGGCCATTCGTTAAGATAAGTTTAAGAGGCAAGTTTTGGCATACACGTGCAATGGTTCTAGCTAGAATTGGGAACTACTTGAAACAGAGGATCCCTGAAATTTTGGAGGTTGAGATTGAAGATGAGAAGCAACTCGATGATAGTCCTGCAAATTTCTAAATTTTCCATTTTTGTCTATTCGGAAATATTATCGATCTTTCTTGCTGCTTAATGTGACTTGATGATGCTTATAAGTTGTTGAAACTCTGAAAATCGATTTGTAGCAAAGTATACATTGTTTTTAGAAGCCCAAAAGACTAGCAATCTTTTTTTTAATAACTAATAACATACATTGGATAATTACTATATAAATGAATATTAGAACATAATCTGATTAGTTTAGCAACAAGCTTTACGTTTAAAGCAAACAACAACGAATCCGAATCTTAGATTTCTCTCAAGAACTCCCTAGAGCGAATTGGGATAATGTTTATGATTATCCTTTTAGAGATGATGGAAGGAATGATGGAAAAGGGAGGGCTACGATCATCGGTGTTACTGTCTCTGGAGATGTTTCGATGGCTGATGATCGGTCGAGGAGGATGATGCAAATTTTTAGGATGAGTTTAGAAGGGACAAGATGGGATCCTGTGAAGTCATTAGGGGATGAGTCTTGGATTGTGGATCTTGGTGTGACTATACCAGCTGCAGTTTATGGTACCAAGCCAAACTCGGTTTATTACTGTAGTGAGAAGAATGTTTATTGTCGCAATGTGATTCAAGGTGATTCAAAAGGATTTCGAGTGTCGAGAGTATCTAAAATTGATTTATAGCAAAGTACACATCGTTCTAGAAACCCAAAAGACTAGCAATATATTTTTAGTAATAACTAATAATATACATTTGATAATTACTACATAAATGAATATTAAAGCAGAATTTGATTATGGATAGGGCTTAGGAAAAAAAAGAAAGTAAACGTTATTATTCTATTGGATCCGTATATATATTCTCTGTTTGTAGATAATTTCCAATCCCTATATTTCCTCATTGTATATTTTTCCTTTTTTCTAGCATTAGGTTTACCTTTCTAGTTGTGTATAACTCGAATATTTTCAAAAGAAGTTTAGAATTATTACAAAACAGAGAATTTACTACTTGTGAGGTGAATCTCAATGCCAAACTGGTCGGAGATTAACTTGGATGTTCTACAATTGATTCTAGAACGTCTGAGCATCCGCAATAGACTCAATGCTCGATCCGTTTGCAAGAATTGGTACAGAGTTAGTAAAGAGTCTTTGATAAAGGTTCCATGGATGATTATCTTCCCATCCAGAAAAACAAAGGAACGTTCATGTCAATTATTCGATCCCCAAGAAGGTAGGTTTTACGAATTGAACAAGCTCGTTAATGACTTCTATTCTAGCCAATGTATCGCGACTTCGGGAAGCTGGCTTTTAATGTTTGACTTTGGATCAAGATTCTATGTTTTGAATATTTTCACACGCGAAAGAATCAATCTTCCGCCTTTAAAGTCACACCAAGGGAGGATTTTTGTTAAGAAGACCCGAGATAAGCTAGGCCGAGACAACTTCATGTTAAGAATCAGGCAATCGAGTATTACTGCGAGAAACGCATTAAACCAGACAAAAGCAGTTTTATGGGTGGACGAGTTAACCAAAAACTACGTTGTCGTCTGGTCGATAGGTCTCTTGTATATGATGTTCACTAAGAGTGGATTTGATAACTGGAGAGAGATACCTACAAGAGAAGGTCCTGAGATTCTCCATGGATGTCAAGACCTTGTCTACAAATACAACAAGCTTTATGTTTTGAGTAAACAAAACCGAATCAGAATCTTGGATTTCTCTCAAGAACTCCCTAGAGCGAATTCGGATAATGTTTACCATAATCCTTTTAAGAATGATGGAAAAGGGAGGGCTATGATCATCGGTGTTACTGTCTCTGGAGATGTTTTGATCGTTAAGAATCAGTTGAAGAAGATTTTCAACATTTTTAAGATGGGTTTAGAAGGTACAAGATGGGATCGTGTGAAGTCATTAGGGGATGAGTCTTGGATTGCGGATCTTGGTGTGACTGTACGAGCTTCAGTTAATGGCTCCAAGCCAAACTCGGTTTATTATTGTAGAGACATGAATGTTTATTGTGGCGATATTTCTACTCGATCGCAGGTGATTCAAAAGTATTTCACGAGTCTAAAGTTGGGTTGCGTGAGGTTGTTTATTCCTACTCTATAGGTCCATTGCGGTAAACTCGTTACAGCACCAAATTTGATTCCATTGTGTGGCTAAGATTGGTTATTTATTTATTTTAATAGATTAAACCGTTTTCATTATAAGAGTTTTTTTTTCAATTGGTTTGGTTTTTCGAATATGAACAATTAATTGTCTCCATCGAAATATCGTAAAGTCTTGTATTTATTAATCTAAGCAAATGAAATGTAAAAAGAATGTACATGAAGGATATTGACACGGAATTTTTCCGAAATTAATGATTCGTTTGTTTCACACGAGAAACAAAAACCCTAAAATGATAGGCGCACGCCTCCAAAAAATGCTACACGAAAATGTCTAGTCCTAGAGATGATAATGGTTGGTCAAAGCTTTATCCTGATCTCTTGCGATCGATCTTCGAAAGCTTAAGCTGCTTGGATTTTCATCGAGCAAGAACCGTTTGTTCAAACTGGTATGCCGTATCTCGAACATGTCCTTTGTATCCATGGAGAATCGTAATCCGAGGTAAGAATTCTGTCTTGTTTGATCCAATACAAGACAAGATCTACACAAAAAATCTTCTTGGAATCGACTTATCCAAAATCCATTGTCTCGCTAGTTACGGTAATTGGATACTAATAGTTGATCTTCGTCTTGATTTCCATCTCTTGAATGTGTTTACTCGAGAGAGGATCAATCTTCCTTCATTAGAGTCATCCCTACGTGGTGATCGTCCTTTTAGATTCATACGAAATGACGACTTTGGATACTTCCTTGAGCTCTACGGCACTAAGTTTCTCTTGACGTGGAACGATTTTAGGTTTGAAAAAACTGCTATTCTGTGGGTAAACGGGAGAAATGGAGATTACATCGTTGCTTGGGCTATCAAACAGTTTTATATCTTCTCATACAAGAAAATAGGAAATGATGATGTTGGTGATGGTAATGATGATAAGCGATGGAGTATCACATGCACACAATGCGAGGATATGGCTTATAAAGATAACAAGCTTTATGTGTATACTTTTGATCATTACATCAACATTTTTGATTTCTCTGGATATTGTCCTAAAGAAACCATGGAAGAAAACCCTTATCTTAATCATCCTTTTCGTTTCGTAGATACGATTTATAAGTTGAGACTTGCGGTCACAAGAGCAGGAGAGGTTCTAATCGTTCTGAGTATAGTAGGGTTAGATAAAAAGTTTTGCATCTACAAGCTGAATCTTAAGATTGGTGATTGGGAAATAGTAGAGTCTTTGGGAGATGAAATGTTGATTTTTGGTCATAGGGTCACAATAAGAGCACCGGACAAAGATATTAGTGGCGGAGGACTCAAGAGTAATTCAATATGTTTCCTTTATGATGACCATTTGTCTGATCATCATCTTACAATGAAGACACAACCAATTTGCGGTGTGTTCGATCTTGCTACTAGTACAATCACATGGCATACAAGATTAGAAGATCTGTCTTCCAAGGTTTGTTGGTTTGTTCCAGGATATGCATAGTCTTTATAAGCTTTGTCAAAAAATCTCCTCCTCAGTCACTGATTTTGGTTTTATTTGGATAAGTACTTTGATTGTAATATGCTTTCTTTTAGCTTATAATCATCTTTAGAAGATTTCGCATAATTTCCCACTGAAGTTTTTTTGCTAAGTCTCTGGAAATATTTGAATCAACCATCGACTAAAGTTCTTGTTTTTAGTAAAACTAAGACATAATCCACATGAATCACAACGGATTTTTTTTTTTTTTTTGATCGTTGATTTTTTTTTGGTAAGGTTTTTTGATCGTTGATGAAGTATGTTTTGTTTTTTTTCATTCAAAAAAAATGATGGAAGTATCTGTTGTTTGTTAAACAAACACTAATAGACTTCTCAGACAAATTATCAAACACTTGATTACGCATACATATTTACTTAACCGTGTTTTAGTTCGCGGGCTTTGTTCGTCAAATATATAACCCATTAATGTGGGCTAAGGCCCATTAATGGTTTCCTTTGTTCAAAACCTAACCCTAATTTCTTTCTTACATCACAACCATCCGAATGATTTGAAGAAGACGACAATGTCAAGAACTCGTTACGATTGGTCAAAACTTTGTCACGATCTTTTGCGATCGATACTCGAAAGCTTGCACTACAAGGATTATCATCGAGCAAGAACCGTTTGCTCACACTGGTACACCGTTTCCTCAACATGTAAGCGACCTCTGTATCCATGGCGAATCTTATTCAACGAGAATTCAACTTCACTCTTCGATCCCGTAGAAGAAAAGATTCACGAAATTCAACTTCCCGGAATCGAATGTTCAGATAGGTATGTTCTTGCTAGTTGCAGCAATTGGTTCTTGATGGTTGATTCTGGTTTAGATTTCTATCTTCTAAACGTGTTTACTCGTGAGAGAATCAATCTTCCATCGATGGAGTCATCGATTCTTGGTAAAGAGAGATTGGAAAAAGAAGTTGAGTGGAAACATTTCATCGAGCGTACGGACATAAACTCCAACAAGAAACAAGCTTGTCTTTGGATAAATGAGAGAACAGGGGATTATGTTGTTGCTTGGAGTATCAAACAGTACTACTTGTTCACTTACAAGAAAGGAGATGATTCATGGTTGAATCTTGAAGACACTAAGTGTGTGTCTATGGCTTTGAATAAGGACTACAAGCTTTATGTGTATACATTAGATAACTCGATCAAGATTTTTGATTTATCTGGTGAGTGTCCTAGTGAGATTGTCGAAGGGAATCCGTATCGTAACCATCCGTTTAGCTTTCGGGTTGTTTCGAAACCCGGGGAATACGCTTGGAGGCAGATTGTGGCGGTTACAAACTCTGGAGAGGTTTTGATGATCGTGAGCTTGAAAGGGTTAGATAATAAACGTTTGTTTTACATCTATAAGATGAATTTGGAAAGTTGTAATTGGGAAAGAGTAGATTCTCTTGGAGGTGAGATGTTGATATTTGGTCATGGGGTCACAATAAGAGCACCGATCTTAGATAGTAATGGTTTGGGAATCAAGAGTGATTCAATCTGCTTCCAGGGTGATGATCTTTGGCCTGTTAGTCATCTTTTTAATCCCATCATTTCCATCACACAACCTAGATGCGGTGTATTCGATCTTGCGACAAGTACAATCACATGGCATAAAAAGTTAGATGCTTCGTTCTCGAAGATTTTCTGGTTTGTTCCAGGATATGCTTGTCTTTGATCAGGAGATTGGTTTCTCATTTGGTCTAGTCTACAGAATTCAGTGAGAATCAGCAGAGCCAAGTGTTTTTGGCTACTTTGAATCTGGATATTACTATCGATTAGTTCAAGTATTGTCATAGCTCTAGGCTTTTATTGTTCATCTTTATTTTGCGGATTTTTGGCATATGATTTTTCTACGGAAATATGTTGTTGAATGAACCTTGTGGTTGATAAAAGTTCTTATAGAAATCTTTGCAAGAAATCTTGCAACTGATCTTCGTTTATGGAACAGCTATCAAAATTGCATTTCAAAAAAACTCAACTTGGTTAATTGAAAAACAGTCACAGGCTTGAGCCCGTTAATATGAGCTTGATGAGCCCAATACTCCAAGGGCCCAAATATTAATAGTTTTTTCGTCTTCCTGACCCAAACCCTAGTTTTCACATTTCAGATAACGCTACCAGCAAGCAATCGTGAGAATGCTTACAAATCAAGGTTGGTCAAATCTTTGTCCCGATCTCTTACGATCGATCTTCAAAGGCTTAAACCATAAGAGTTGTCATCGAGCAAGAACCGTTTGCTCAAATTGGTATCTAGTTTCCACAACATGTGTAAGCGAGTTCTGTATCCATGGCGAGTTTTATTCAAAAAGCACTATACTTTGTTGTTCGATCGTGAAGATGATAAGATTTACTAATTCGACCATCCATATCTTGACTTCTCCAGAATCTATTGTATCGCTGGCTCCAGCCATTGGCTTCTCATGGTAGATCTTCGTCTTAAATTCATTATTTTGAATGTGTTTACACGTGAGAGGGTCCAATCCATCTTCATCAATGGAGTTATCATTTCCCAGATGCGAACAATATGAAGACATCATCGAGTGTAGTGACATCCTATCAGCTGTTCTGTGGATTAACGAGAGTAAAAGGGACTATGTAGTTGCTTGGGATTACAAAAGACACATCTTGTTCTCTTACAAGAAACATGGAGAAAGAATCTTCAAGGCACAAAATGTGACGATATGGGTTTTACCATTTAAGGATAATAAAGCTTTATGTGTTTACTATTGATAACTCCATTAAGGTTCTTGATTTCTCGGGAGATATCCCGAGAGAAGACGTCGAAAGTCCGTATTATGATCCTCAGTTCAGCTCCGAAATGGGACTGATGGAATGTATTTGGAAGAGGAAAGTAATGATAACAAAATCTGGAAATGTTATGGCCATTCAGACCTCAGGAGGGAACAACAAAGAGAAGTTTTTGTTTCAAGTCTTTAAGATGAATCTTGAGAGTAGGAAGTGGAAAAGTGTAGATTCTCTTGGAAAAAATGAGATGGTTATCTTTGGTCATGGAGTAACACTAAGAACATATATCAATGGTGGTTCCATCTTTTTTGTTGAAGATGATCTTTGGCCAGGTCAAAGAAAATGCGGTGTGTTTGATCTTGCGACAAGTACAATCACATGGTCTAAGCCAGTAGGTCATAGTCTTGCGGAGACTAGGCGATGGTTTGTTCCAAGTTCTTTTTCAGACAATCATCTTCAAGAACATTGACCGCGAAATTATCAACACCATCAATGCGAGGAGGCATCAGAAAAACTTCAGGAACCTTATGGGTTTTTGGTAATCAAAATGTAATTCCAAAACTTTCTTCATTTATATGATATTAACCATTTAGCAAAAAAAAAAAAAAAAAAAAAAAGTTGCTCACGAAAAGCCATTGGATATTTTAATAATTTGATTAGGTATTGTTATTAGACTATTTCTATTTTTATTTATTGTTTTTCTTCTGTATTTATTTATTTATTTTGTTGCAAATTTAACATGAATAATTTCCTTGGGTTATTTGTGGTTTAGTCGTTGTTGAAGTTCTTGTTTTTAATAGCAATCTTTGTTAAGGATAAGTAAATCCTAATCCCACTCAACATACAAATCGTCGTTATTCAGCTTTTACAATAGAAAACGTAATAAATTAAAATAGATAAATGTCGGATTTTATTTTTTATTTTGCTATATATACCCTAACTTAGTACGCAAGGAAACCCTAAGAGAAGAATTCATGGATGAGACTCAGAGAGACGAAAAGATGAAAACTGGAGACGTCGACTGGTCGGAGATGTGTTCCGATGCCATGCAATTGATTCTTGAAAGCTTGAGCATTCCAGACTTTCATCGAGCAAGCACCGTTTGTTCAAAGTGGTACTCTGTTTCGAAATCATGCGTTGCAGGATCGCAAAATAGATATCCATGGCTGATACTTTTCCCGGAAAAATCTTCCGACTCGAAACCTTCTAAGAAGCTGTTCACAAAGTTGTCTGACACGAATTCTTGTAGGCTGTGTGATCCTCGAGACGGAAAGATTTACAGGACAAGATATCTCGGAGACAAATTATCCGAGTGGCGTTGCCTTGCAAGTTACGGTAACTGGTTACTAATGTTGACTCCTCATATCGATTTCTACGTCATAAACGTGTTTACCGGCGAGAGAATCAATCTTCCGTCTCTATCACTCCGACGTAAAGTGAGTTTCGAAAGAAAAGACGATGGTGGATTCTTCCTCGAACGGTTTGATCGTGAGACGATCATCGACTGGTTTATCGAGACTGCTGTTTTGTGGATTGATGAGAAAACGAAAGATTTTGTGGTTTGTTGGATTTACAACGATCAGTACTTGTTCTCATTCAAGAAAGGAGATGATTCTTGGTGGCATCTTGAAGACACAAAGTGTTTAGCTATGGCGTACAAGGACCAAAAGCTCTGTGTTTATACCTCTGATCATCACATCAAGATTCTTGATTACTCAGGTGATATCCCGGAAGAGATCATCAAAGAAAACCCATATCTGAATCATCAGTTTTACTATGATCCGCAACCGTGGGAATACATTTGGAAGAGGATATTAGCGATCACGACTTCAGGAGATGTTCTAATCATTCTGAGCTTAAAAAAGACCCTTGAGAAGGAAGAGAAACGTTTGTTCTACATCTTTAAGATGAATCTTCAAGGCGACGAATGGGAACGAGTAGATTCTCTGGGCAATGAGATGTTGGTTTTTGGTGATCATGGATACACATTAGCAGTAGCATCATCAGCTAAAGAAGATAATAGTGGAGGAGTCATCTATTTCGTTGCTGATGATGTTTGGCCGCCTCATACCAATAAACTCCTTGAAAGTAGTACCGGTGCTTTTGATCTTGCAACAACCGAAATAAGATGGTCTCTACATTATTTTTACTTTTCCAACATTCGCTGGTTTGTTCCAGGATCTGATAAACAATGATCGACCACGGTTCCTTTTTAGTTGTCAGTTTTTTTAATTTTAAAATTTTATTTCATTACTCTTTGATGTCTTGCTTTACATACATCAATAACTGCAATTAAGCAGAGTTTCAAGAATTTGTATATCTTCAATCTAGTTGAAGTACAACTCTTTTTTTTTTTTGTGTGCAAAAAAGTACAACTCGAGAATCTTTTCTTTTGCTCTGACTTTACCACGAATGAACCAATGAACCAAGCGCATAGATTTATGATCAAGAAGATGGTTCCGTAGGCATAACGATCTCTCAAATACCTTATTATTCTCTTGATAGTACGGAAGAGTCTTAAGTTGCCACGACTAATCTGCAAGAAATGATCTCACCCGTTGATCATTCATTGCCATAACCTGCAAGAAATTGTGAGCGAATGGATTTGGATAGATGACATTTAAAAAACTTTAAAAGGTCCAATATGAGTTTCGGCCCAATACTCGGCCCAACTTTAGTTTAAACCAATACTTATTTTTCTATTACTACATTTTCTTTCAATTATTATTCTACATCACGTTTGCAATTTTGCATATGTTAGAGCGATTAAAATGTCAATAATACCTGATTTTTGGAACAGATTCGGATGAATGAATTGTGACAAAATGTATAGACATAGGCAGCAAAGGAACTATGTTTCTTGATACTATTTGAACAACCCCTTCTCACTGTCACAAAAGAAAAGACATGAATTTCATTTTGTAAGATGAGTGTTTCATATATATTTTGAAAATTGTGATTTGCGTAAATTGTTAATTTTGAAAATATTGAGCTGGCTTGTAAATTTTGTGCGTTCTAATATTTTTGACTTACTTAATTTGGGAGTGGAAAATGGAAGATTCTTAAGATGCTGAAAATGCATCACAATGACCTTACATGAATTTCAAAATCTACAAATAAGAGATTAAATGATAATAAGGATTATGAAGAAAAAAGTTTAGTCAAAGAGTAAAAAATTATTGTGAAATATTGCATATGAATTTGGTCCATAGTTGACCAAAAAAAAAATAGAATTCGGTCTATACATAGGATGATATCTATACATAGGATGATAAACAATGCTGCACAAATCAAGCACACTTGTGTGCTACCATATATCCAATTTTCTAAGGCGACTTGAAAACCCAAAATTTTTGCTTACCAACGTTTATCTACAATAGCTCTGAGTGGAACGAAAGTGTGTAAGTGATGTGATAGTTTATTTACCTTCTCGAAATCTTTTATTGTTGTTGTCTTATTTAATTCGTTTATTTTTACAGATGACAAAGGTGTAGATCCCACTACACCTGGCTTTTGGAGTGAACTGTTTGTCATGTCAAAGCCTCAAATCTACCAAAGTTCCAAGGCTTTTTTCAAGAAGAAGCTAGGACTAGACTAGAAATAATTCTTATTCCCTTTGACAAAATCTACATCACTAGACTTAGGTGAAGAACACAATCGTTTTCTTTTTCTTTTCGGTCTCTATATTTTAGTTTGTTAATTGAGAACTCTTTTCTGTCTCTGTATCAAAACTTATTAAAGAGAAATGGTGCATAATGTTCTTTTTAATTGAGAGCTCTATTTGGATTTCTTATGTATGAGGAGATGTTTGGTGGAAGATGATATTTGGCTAAGTTATGAGAATAGTAATTCACACAGGAGAGGTTCTAGGTCATTCAGAGTAGATTCTCTTGTGGATATTTGTGTATTAGTCGTTGATGAAGTCATGTTTTTAAGCGCAATCTTTCCAAGGATAAGTGACCCCAATCCCAAACATACAAATCCTCTAACCTTGGTTTATCAATTATCACCAAGTTTATAAAACAAACTCACATAAATCAAGACCACAATTCTAGCTACAAAGCTCATAGATTTCTCTTTAATGGTAATGCTCATAGTTTTTAGAGCATTAAACAATAAAATAAGATAACAACAATAAAAGATTTCGAGAAGGTAAATAAACTATCACATCACTTACACACTTTCGTTCCACTCAGAGCTATTGTAGATAAACATTCGTAAGCAAAAATTTTGGGTTTTCAAGTCGCCTTAGAAAATTATAGTTTTTTTAAATTTTATTTTAAACTCGTCTGAATTAAATAAGTCGGTTTCTGCGAAGGAGCTTGGATACTTGATCGATAATAAGGGTCAACTTCAAGCTCGATGTGTTCCACCATTTTAGAATCGTTTTGCAGCAGAATTACAATGTCTCGTATGTGCAATTGAGGCTCTAAGACGAAGAGAAATCCATGTGATAAAGAAGCAGGTATGAAACCCTAATTCATTACTCCACTATCAAATGTTACTAGAAGCTAGAATTTACCTGTCATATTTGTTGGTTCTTTCTTTTGGTGCTTCTGCTTCAAATTCAAACTCGAAACTTATAATCTTAAAAGGGGAAAAAAAAGACAAGTTTATCTTGCAAATTATTAATGTACTTTTGTTTGACTCTTTAACCTAGCTAACTAATTTTCTTAAGGAATACGGAAACTTACCCTAATTAAGAGAAGACTTTTTATGTATAGGTTTTTTATTAAGGGTCTTGTTTATGTAATTAGTTAATCCCTAAATCTAGCCGCCACCGCTTCCATGGCTCACAATGGCACAATATCACCGACGACCAGAGAAGCCATCACAACAAACTCGCTTAACATCGATATTGCCAATGTATCTAAAGTCACTTCAATAAAAAAGATGGAACCTAAAGACGCCGACTGGTCAGAGATGTGTTCCGATTCCATGAAATTGATTCTTGAAAGCTTGAGCTTTCCCGACTTCCATCGAGCAAGAACCGTTTGTTCAAGCTGGTACTCTGTTTCTAAATCATGCGTTGCGGGATCAAGAAGCAGGTATCCATGGCTGATCCTTTTCCCAAACTTTTCGGGATCTTGTACACTGTTCGATCCTCTTGAAAACAAGACCTACAAGACAAGAAATCCCGGAAAAAGTCGTTGCCTTGCAAGTTACGGTAACTGGTTACTAATGTTGACTCCTCGTCTCGATTTCTTCGTCTTAAATGTGTTTACTTGCGAGAGAATTAGTCTTCCATCTCTTTCACTCCAAGGAGGTAAAGTGAGATTCCAAAGAAAAGACGATGACGGAGTACTCTTCCTCGAACACTCTCCTAAGGATCGTGAGACAATCATCAATAGGTATATCGAGACGGCTGTTTTATGGATTGATGAGAAAACGAAAGATTTTGTGGTTTGTTGGATTTACAACAGTCAGTACTTGTTCTCTTACAAGAAAGGGGATGATTCTTGGTGGCATCTTGAAGACACAAAGTGTTTAGCTATGGCTTACAAAAACAAAAAGCTTTGTGTTTATACATGGTCTCAGTACATTAAGATTCTTGATTTCTCTGAAGATTTCCCGAAAGAGATCGTCGAAGAAAACCCGTATCTGAATCATCGGGTTTACTACACTCCACAACATAGTAGGGAATCTTGGAGGGAGAGAGTAGCAATCACAAGTTCAGGAGATGTTCTGATCATTGTGAGCATAAGAAAAACGTTAATAGAGAATCAAGAGAAACCATACTTCTTTAAGATCTTTAAGATGAATGTTGAAGGAACCGAATGGGAAAGAGTAGATTCTTTAGGTGATGAGATGCTTGTTTTTGGTGATGGCTTCATCAAGGGCAATTTGATTTATTTCGTTTCTGATGATTCTTGGGACCCCGTGAGTGATCAACCCTTTCAAAGTAGTACCGGTGTTTATGATCTTTCTACAACCGAAAAACGCTGGTCTCGATTCGCTTATTGCTTGTCCAACATTCGCTGGTTTGTTCCAGGATCTGATAATAAATGATTAACCTCGGATTCTTTTCTATTTTCTAGTATTTTCGTCCCCTTACTCCTTGATGTTCTGTTCATCCACGTTTGCAAATTAAGCACAGTTTCAAGAATCTAGTTGATGACGACTATTAGTATTGTATCTCATCAATCTTGTTGAAGAATTCAAGAATCTTTTCTTTTGCTCTGACTTCACCAAATGTTGTACATTGGATCATGTTCATAATGAAATCACAATTAAGGTAAAAATGAATGAACTTGATAACAACAACTTTATAAAGAATGACCTCAATGATTCTGTATTAACTTCAAAACTTCTAGCAAATGTCTATCTATCTGTCCACTTCTGCTGCTGTTGGCTGAGGTTGTTCGTGAACTCTAGGCTGTCTCACAATAGGACCAATCAACTTCCAAACTGTATTCAAACGTATAAAAACCCAAAATCAGTAAGCAAACATGGCACTAACTGGCCTAGTTGGTATAATTTGATTGAAAATCTCTCGTTCTGTTAGATCAAGACCTGAAATTAATTTTACATTTTTAACTTACGGTAAATCGCTGCGCCAAACCACTCGTTCACTATCTTCACCCATGTGCTTGTCCAACCAACATCAATGCTCCATCTATGGGTTACATGAATAATACAATTTCATAGTCATGATTCTGAGTTTTATTGTTTCAGATGAGAATATGCAGATTGGAATTTTCCTTACTTTTGAGCTGAATGTGAAAGGTTCCAGCTGATAAACAACATAGCAAAGTACATTGCTCCTAAGGAGAACACAAGGTGGAAGAATCCATAGCTGTATGGTATATCGTCTTCTTCTTTCGCTTCATCTTTACGGAACTCGAACTGTAATAAAGATTCTATAATGTCTGTGACCGAAAAATATTGAGTTTCAAGTTGAGTTTGAATGTAAACTTACCCTGAAGGATTCTGAATCGATCCCGGTTGAGAATGTTGCCATCACAATGGCGCCTATAGCTATAAGGAAACTCTGAACAAAGGAAGAAGTTAGATTAATTCTAAGTAAGCAAGAACTCAAGAAGAGGCTTTGAGCTGTTACCAGTATTGTAATCCAATCAGTATGACCGTTTTGAGTATGCGCATTGCATTTTGTATGTGAAGGTTCGCTGATACAAAACTTGTATTTAAGTAATGCTTTGAAGAACTAACCAAACAAAAGTTAGATTTTGGTTTTTCTCTTTACCTTCTGATCGCAGACCAACATAGGAAGACAATGTAGGAAGCCATAATCCCAGAAGACAAAAGTCCTCTATTCTTTACCTTTTAATGCAAAGCATCAGAATTCGAAGCAAAGATAAATCATTGTGTTACCTTCAAGCAAAACTTAGGAAAAGTACCTTTGAATGCAAGGACATAACCATCATAACGATTAAAAGAACAACAGTCCATGAGATAAAGAATATATTGAGGCCACAAGCAGTCGAAGCTGCATAAAAGTAGTACATCACTGCGATCCCGCAAACAGAACCGATGTAGAAAACTATTGACATGACCAAACCAAAAGAGCAGCTGCAGAAAACAACAGTTTTAAACTATTAGCCAACAAGTGATATATCCACATAGAGTAAACCCTTTTGTAATGACTGATACTTGCTTACCTTTGCTTACTTTGGTCATGAGGCATCCAATAGTTATTCCACCAAGTGATGAATTCGATAACACTTACAAGTTGAAGACCAAGAAATATCCTGCAACAATAGAAATGGTAAGAGAATCATGTGTTTCTCTATCATTTAAGAGAGCAACTTGAAAGATGATTTTACCCTGCACCAACTCGCGCGATTTCCCCTGTAAGGAAAACATCATTGTCGTGATCCAAACCGATCAGATCAAATGGAAAAGATTATAGAGCTATAGTGAGACAGAAACATACCGTAAATTTGGATGTAAAGCTGAGGTATGAAGAAAGAAGCTACCATGGCTAAAACCAGCAGAAAAAACTTGAAGATCCAATTATCCGAGTGCCAACTGTTTTGAGCTTCGTGGAGTTTCATTGTGTTCCATGTTGAGAGGAACATAAGAAAGTAAAATATCTTCATTGTTAAGGATACATAAAACCTAAATAACATACCAAATTACTTAACATTATGACTCTATCAGCAAAAGAATTCATATTTCAGGATACGAAACATCCTAGACTCACGCGAAGTACTCCAAGCGTATGGAAACAATGACTTCCTTCTGGTCCACAAATACTGACATCTGCATTGATGATTTCAACTTAAAAAGTATCTTTAAATTCAACATTAGATATATCTCAAAAGATTTGTGACTTTACATGGAAGCAAGGCCAGAGCCTTTTGTGCGTAGTCACGAATAAACCAAGCGCATAAGTTTATAATCAAGAAGATGGTCCCGTAGACATAACGAGCTCTCAAAGACTTGTTTTTCTCTTGGTAGTAAAAGAGACTCCTCTGTTCTATTTCCCTTATGAGTTCATCTAGATGAGCAGCCTCTAAATCACCAGGACTGATCTGCAATGGTCTCATCCGTGTAGCAGCTTCCGCTGATCCATTCATTGCCAAAACCTACAAGAAATTGAAATCGAACAACCTTTAACAATTCCAAATGCCAAATGATGTCTCTCTAACACAACACAATTCCGCCTAGCGATTAACAAAATCTCTAGAATCTAAAGGCAAGAACAAGAATGTCAAAAGAGAAACTCCAAAGCAGAGAATCAGACCCATTATCAGTAATTAAGAAAGAAAAAAAACTTAAAATTTCCGGTTAAAAATCTGACCTTTTATTTGGCTCTGGCTGGAATTTCGCTATGTAAAATTAGACACAGAAGCTAAAGAATGAGAAGAAAGCGAACGAAGAAGAAGCTAAAGAGTTGAAGTGTGAGTTCAATGTTCTCTCACACGATAATCACGCAGAGAGTAAAGAAGAAGCAGAGCGGTTCGAAAACTGGATTTAAAATAAAACGTTTGGTGTATGATTTGGTGTTACGATTTCATCGTAATGACTTTGTGCACTTTTGTTTCTAGCCGTACGATTTGATGACCTTTATCTTCATCTGCTTTGACCAAATTATATCTCCAAAAAAAAGAAAATTTTGAATGAATATTTTAATTTGAAGACACATGTTGGATTTCCGCTTGTGTGTTGATTTTTATGTTTAATGATTTTGATCACACCACATGAAACTTGCTAATTCAGAACTTTGAACATTGAAATTTTTAACAATAAGATAAGAAGAAACATTCCTTCCATGAACGTTAAAATGGACAGCCACGTTGTGTTTGTCGAACTTTCTAAAAGTAAATCATCTTTCATTACTTGTTGTAGTTTAACTAAAAGTTCGGGAAGTGTGTAAATCAACCGAGACATTAAATTTTCTTGCCTACTAAACAGATAATAGTTGTCTCGTTATGCTTAAGTATTTTTCTTCATTCGCTCTCTATTTTATTAGTTTTATCTTTCCTAAAAAGAATATGACTATTTACTATACATTTGAACTGGAACTTTTAAGAACATTCTTAAATTGTACTATTTGCTTTTGTCATCTAGTTCGGTGGATTTATACCAAGCGTTTGACCAATTAGCCAAATTGAATCAGTTCCTTCATCATGTTCATGTGTATCCAAGCTGTAATCAATCCGAAAAATTATTAAAGTATATACAAATACGGTTTCCTTGGTTATGGCTTTTTTTTTTTCATCAAACACCATTTCTATTAAGATATCGGAAAGAGACTCTCCGCTAGGGAGAGCCAATCAGGAACCGACGAGCTTACATGGGAAAAGAGACTGTTTCGAGATCGAGCATGTTTAGCTAAACAATCTGCTCGAGTATTTGAACTTCGAGGAAGGAATCTAATACTAAAAGAAGGGAAAAAACAAACGAGTGACCGGAAAGATGCCATTTCTGCTGCCTTGGTTATGGCTTATTGCTGCTATAATGAGTAAGGCAGGTTATGGGTTATGGAACGGACAAATACGTGAAGACAAAAGAGTTTGGTTCATAATTATGACTTTCTTTTGGGAGATAAATGCTTTGGTTCCCAATTATAACCTTCTTCACCACGCGATTTGTGGACCGTGTTAAGTAGATTTGCTTTCTTTTTCGGGAAACATAATTTAAAGTTTTAAACTATATAGTTTGTTTCTTTCTATGAAAAATCTTTTCCCATTTTTTATTAGAAATAATAAGAGTCTGTTAATTGAACCACACATAAATAAACAGCTAAATATCGTGTTAATAAGATATAAGGGTTTGGTGATAGTTGGCAAGAACTAAGATATCTCCTCCATATGCGCGCAACCTCCTTGAAGTTTCACTGAACTCTCTAATCTGATTTTTTTTTGGAAGAAATTTGCATGAACCCGAAAAGGATATTTTTCAAAATAGTTTATAAATCGTTTGTGAATTAAAAATCATGGAAAATCTAAAGGTCTCTCTCTCTCTCTTTCAATCATGAGTAAAGAATCCATTAGTCCCTTGTCAACGAAGCAACCGTAGCATCTCACAAACAGATTCCAAAGAAACCTAGTCAGCGTTTATGATTCTTCTCAGAAACCCATTCCTCCCATACCGCCCATGCCACCCATGCCGCCACCCATACCCGGAGACACAACCTCTTTCGTTGGAATCTCAGTCACAACTGCTTCAGTCGTTGTCAACAAAGACGAGACACTAACCAATAGAATAAACAAAGACAACAATATTAGCAAAACATTGCAATAAAATAAAATACAAAACTGGACGACCAATCTTTCAAACTCTGTGTACCTTGCAGCATCAACCAATGCGGTTCTGATCACTTTCAAAGGATCAATAATACCGGCTTTTACCATGTCCACATATTCTCCTGAAAGTAAATGCCAAAAGAAGCTAGTTCAGATTTCGGAATATAGGGAAATAACAAGGTGGATCAATAACTATAGAAAGTGAATTTTATCTAGTGCATATAAGAGTGTAACCTTTAGCAGCATCATAACCAAGGTCAGGATTATCTTGCTCCAAAAGCTTGCCTACGATGACTGCACCCTCGACTCCAGCATTGGAAGCAATCGTGTAAACAGGTGTCTGCATCAAAGAAAGATTGTGTGTAAGATTCAAGAAGCTATTTATATTAAGAGGAAGAACAATAAGATTAGAGTAACACACCTTGAGAGCGTTTTGAATGATTTGAACACCAATTTTCTGATCAAAGTTAGCTGTGGAAAGCTTATCAAGTTCTTTCGAAGCATACAAAAGAGCAACACCACCACCTGCAATACACACAAAGTAAGGTAATTCTTTTTTTTTCAGGAACTCAACCAAACTTTGTTCTAGAGATTTGAGATAGTTTTTACCTGGAACAATACCCTCTTCTACGGCTGCTTTAGTGGCATTTAGAGCATCAGTTACTCTATCTTTCTTTTCGCTAACTTCTGTCTCACTCGCTCCTCCAATCTAAAAACCCATGTGAGTAATCCCGACGTTAGTAATAAACTAATAATGCATTTATATCCTTTTGTTCTGATGTTCACAAGAGGTGTGCATTACCTTCAGTACAGCAACACCACCCGAAAGCTTAGCCAACCTTTCTTGCAACTTCTCCTTGTCATAATCAGACGTGCTCGCTTCAACCATGGATCGTATCTGCGTGGTTTATTAAAATTTTAAAACATATTAAATATTCTTACGAGTTGGAAAAAGGGTAAAGTTATATACCACTGTACTACTAAATGATAAAAAAGCACAAAGCACACTAACCTGTTCACATCGTTCCCCAATTGCTTGCTTGTCACCAGCCCCATCGAGAACAACAGTATCGTCTTTGGATACAGTTATCTGTTAACAAATGAAAATCAAGTTATATAAATGTATCAGAAGGTACAAGGGAGAAAGAGAAAAAGCAGAAGGAATTGGACCAAACGAACCTTCTTGCAGTTTCCGAACATACTGAGGTCAATGTTGTCGAGATTCATACCTAACTCTTCTGTTATTACCTACAAAGTGGAATCACCAAAGACACATTATGGCTCATGTGATTAGTGTGGGTGTGACAGACAAAATAAAAAGAAACATGGGCATGCCTGGGCTCCGGTGAGGGCAGCTAGATCGTGTAAATTGGCCTTTCGGTTCTCTCCAAAACCAGGGGCCTTCACAGCACAGACCTGTAACGCAATACCATTCACATCAATCCAAGCAAATTAAATTCCTAATAAGACGTCGTAAAAAAAGGCTGAAAAGAAATACCTTGATTCCAGCACGAAGTTTGTTCAGAATGAGGGTGGCAAGAGCATCACTCTCCACATCCTCAGCAACGATCAGCAGCGGCCTTTGCTTCTGAAAACGGCAAAGAAAATAAATTTCGATCATCAGATACAATTACTTGATGAATATCAGACATTATTGACAACCAAGACATCGCCAAATTATTTATACCTTGAGGGCCAGTTCTAAAACTTTCACCATAGCGTTTATATTCGAAATTTTCTTCTCGTGGATAAGAATGAGAGGATCTTCTAGTTCCTGCAACCCATACCCATGCAGAACAAATCAAAATGAGAAGTTCCTTAAATAGATAAAGCAACAAGGTGGGAATCCTTACACATTTTTGGGTTTTCGGGTTAGTAATGAAGTATGGGGAGATGTATCCTCTGTCAATCTTCATACCCTCAACAACTTCCAGCTCATTAAACAAGGTCTTGCCATCCTGAATCAAGAGATGATAACATTAGTCCCGTCAAGGAATAAGCAAAATAATTTGACATTTAGGGATCAAATTCAACTCACTTGAATTGTGATCACTCCCTCTTTGCCAACAGTTTCCATAGCCTTTGCAATCAGTTCACCAATTTCTCTATCTCCATTAGCTGATATTGTTCCAACTTGGGCAATTTCTTCAGAAGTGCTAATCATGCGTGCTCGGCTCTGCAAGTTCGTCACAACAGTATCAACTGCCAATTTGATACCACGTCTTAGGTCCATTGCATTCATTCCAGCGGCAACTGATTTACAACCTTCCGTGAAGATAGCTCGAGTTAGGACTGTAGCACATGTTGTTCCTGAAGCATACCAAATTTTTTGTCAGAAACAAAAACAACGGTCAATAAGAGAGTAGATAGGAGACTGACAACCAAATTACCAAATAAAGAAAAAACGTTTTAATACAATGAAAAGGAACCCTTACCATCACCAGCTACGTCATTTGTGGCGTTAGCAACCTGTTTGACAAGACTGGCACCAACGTTCTTAATTCTGTCCTTGAACTCAATGCTCTTGGCAACAGTCACACCATCTTTTGTCACCTTTGGTGCACCCCAGCTTTGTTCGATGATGACATTACGGCCCTTAAAAGATAAAGAAATTTAGAAAACGGTTTTACACAGTGGGATAAGTATAACTAAACAGGTAACTATTGATACTTGTTAATATGGAATCACATTATCCTTTTGTTAACTAGATTCACCCACAATATTAATCTCTTGAACAGAAACTATCGGAAACATAATTTGATTACCTTAGGTCCCATAGTGACTTTAACTGCATCAGCAAGATCCTCGACACCCTTAAGCATTAAAGCCCGAGCTTCAACACCAAACCTTATGTCTTTTGCAGCATAATTCCTAGTAGAATTGAGCCTGCTTCCAATCTAACAATACACAAAATGCAAATCTATACATACCCTCAAACGGCTAAACCACAAATTAGATACAAAATGAAGAACACGAACCTGGCTTGTACAGTTTCTGGCAATCCTGTTGAAACAAAGAAAAATAAATCCCATCAATAAATGAAAAGCAACTTTCAGAAATACAAAGTAAATGGAAGACGCTACACTCTTCAAGAGCAGAGAAAGATTCAATTCAATCCAGTTGCTGCTAAAATTGGGAAAATCTGAACTAAACTCAATACATATTATAACCAATTCCCAACAGTTTCACACAACTTTCAGATCTCGAGGCAGAAACAAAATCACAGAAGAAAAAAGCAGCAATCAAATCATAACCACAAAGAAAACCAAAAAAGTCGAATAGATCTACCTAGCTTTGGAAGCAACGTTGGTGACAAGACGATACATGATGATTGATTCTCACACAACCGAGGAGATTGCAATTGCTTCAGATCAGATCGACCTAAAGAAGAAGAAGCTAAATTGACAAATGAAGCAGATCGTCGAAGATTCTAGAAGAAGTAGTAGGGTTTAGGGTTTTACGTTTTCTCCAAGCTCATTTGCTTGGTTGAGAGTTTTAGCCTCCGATTTTGGATCCGGTTCCGAGTTTTGACCCGGTACGATTATAATATGGGCCTTGTAAAGCCCAGTTCATTATTACAACATTTTTTATAAAAAAAAGTCACCAAGAAAAAAAAACCTTTTTTACTCATTTCTGATTGTCTTCCTCAGAATCCCTAGAACACACACTGATTAACGAATCAAAGATCGATTTGGGGATCAAAGCAGTGATCGATCGAGGAAGAAGATGACGGAGGCGATGATAAGGAAGAAGCCAGGAATGGCGAGTGTGAAGGATATGCCGTTGCTTCAGGATGGTCCACCACCGGGTGGATTCGCGCCGGTCCGATATGCTCGCCGGATCTCCAACACGGGTCCAAGCGCCATGGCTATTTTCCTTACCGTTTCCGGTGCTTTTGCTTGGGGCATGTACCAAGTCGGTCAGGGCAACAAAATCCGCAGGTAATTAGAAAATGAGATGTCTCACATTTCACTATTTTTTCTCTATCGATTTTCCTGGAATTTTAGATTCTCTGTTGTGAAATTTTGAGTAATCTGGGATTTAAATTTGTCTAGTTAGTCTGAAATTGGGTACTAATAACCCATTTTTTATCTAATTAACGATCTCTTGAGTTGTGATGAAGAAAGCAATCAAATTGCTAGATGAGATACTACTAGTTACTTGGATTTTGGTTTTTAGGTGGTCACATTTGTGAGTTATTAGCTTGATTAGGGTCGATTTGGAGTATTTTACAACTAATAAGACAACGCAGTGTTATCTTTCTTGGTGTGTTTGTATGTAACATTCTCTAATAGTCTTCTATTGTTAGACTCTCAATTGCAGAATGATGACACAAGTGTCAAAATGAGCACAATTTATCAATTTTAATTAAGATTGATGTGATGATAGGGCGCTGAAGGAAGAGAAATATGCTGCCCGTAGAGCGATTCTACCGATTCTTCAAGCTGAAGAAGATGAAAGGTAGAGAAAAACTAAAGAAGTTCTGTTTGCTTGTGTGGTACAAACTCTAACATTGAATCTCCATGTGTTGATTGTAAATTAGGTTTGTGTCTGAGTGGAAGAAGTATCTAGAATACGAGGCGGATGTGATGAAGGATGTTCCTGGATGGAAAGTCGGTGAAAACGTGTACAATTCTGGTCGTTGGATGCCTCCAGCTACTGGAGAGCTTCGTCCTGATGTCTGGTAAAATATCAATGGCTCCTTTTGATGATGATGAATGAATGTTTGTTTAAGCATTTTAGAATCTTGATGTTTGTTGTCTCTTTTTCCATCGTATAATAAGAGAAATGATACATACACAGTTCATGTATTGGTGGCACTGAGGAACATTTTCTGTTTTTTTTACCTCATTCACATATTTCTGTCAATGACAAAATCAGTTTCGGACACATGTTCATATATTTTGTTTAAACTCTCTAGATCAGCTCTAATCAAACACAGTTGCCAACAAAAGATAAATTGAAATGTAAAAGAATACGTTAAATTAAATGCATGGAAAGCCACATCATCCTTTCAAGAAAAGAAGCTCAACCACATTTCACAGTTATTTCTTCCATGGAGAGGGCTTATCTCTTTGATTTTCACATCACAAACACTAATCAATCCTCTCTTTTTTACCTCTTTTCATATAAGTTTTATATAAATAGTGAGAGTCAAAAGTGTGAAATACAACGACGGTGGCGACTAGCCACAGTTTTGATCTGTTGCATAGTTTCTTCTTTCCAGCTAGTGGCAATATCATGAGCTACACTCATTGCATCGAAGGATGCACCTGAGAGTCCTCTTCCGGTGAACCCCACCGCATACAACCCGGCCTTCCCTTTCCACCCTTTTGGAAATGGGTTTTTCTCTATCCCAACCTCTGCCAAGTCGTTTTCCTGCATATCAATAAACCAACCACCAAACAACGTCTTAGTATTTATCAAACTTCCCTTAGCTATCAATACCGGTATTATGGTCCTATAAAATGTTATCTTTTGAGACAAAATCTGAAAATGATAATCGTTTTGTCTACCTTAAGCCATGAAGGGACATTACTTCTGTAACCAGTGGCAAGAATGACTGAATCAATCTGCAGAGCTCGACCATCCACGAGTTCGACCTTTCCCAGACCAAACTTAGCTATTCCCGGGACGATTTTGATCTTTCCCGATTTGATTCTTGAAAAGGCCCCGATGTCTAGTACGGGAGTTTTACCTACGGTGTTTTTCAGCTCTAACGGTCCCATTTCAGGCCTCTTAAGCCCGTACTTATCGGTGTTCCCCAGAAGTAACCTTGTGAGAACGAGCAGAGTCTTGTCCACAAGCCAAACCGGCATCCATTTCATCATTGTTACACCTAACTCGAACGTTGACTTCCCAAGAATCTCTATCGGTAATACATGAACCTGATCGATCAGATAAAACAAACAAGGAAAAACAGAATATTACTATCAGATGCTCTGTTTTAGAACAGAGGAACTACTAAGAATCAGGTGCTCTGTTTTTCGAAACTTGGTGGGTATAATTTACTGATGTTTTACTTACGGAGCTACGAACGACCATTGATGGGCTTGCATCGTGGTTTGATAGATCGAGAGATACTTCCATGCCGGAGTTTCCACATCCGACTACCAGAACTCGGTTTCCGCGGTACCTCTCACCAGATTTGTAATCACCAGCATGAAGAACATCACCACCAAAATCTTCTAAACCCTCAAACTCCGGCACCACTTTCTCAGCATTTTCTCCGGTCGCTACCACGAGCCACCTGCAAATATACTCGAACTCACAATAACCGAGCAGCTCGCTTCTCAAAACAGTCTGGACCCGCCACAGCCCAAACCTCTTGTCATATTTAGCTGACTGAACAGTCTCATTGAACTTTGGGCGGAGATCAAAGTGGGTTGCGTACGACTCAAGGTACTCAATAAACTGGTACTTGGTTGGATACTCCGGGAAATCTTCCGGAAAGGGTAAATTAGGTAGTTGACAGAATTGTTTGGGGAGATGAAGCTTGAGACGATCATAGGTTCTGTTTTGCCACAGAGAAGCTATGCAGTTAGCTCGCTCGAGGATTATAAACGGAACTTCTTGGCGTTTCAGGTCGGCCGCGACAGCTAGGCCTGATGGGCCAGCACCGACGATGACCGGCCCGTTCACCCAGATGCAACGACGGGAGAAAATGTCCTCAGGCTGAAGCATACTTGAGATGTTGACACAACTTGTGTTATTGTTATCACACATCTTACTGGGAGCTTTTTAGTGTTATTTATACTCACTTTTAGGGCAAGAAAATATGTAATGATGATTGATGGGGATTTGGTTTGGATTGAGGAGGGTTTATATAGAGAAGACTTTTATGCAATTTGGAATTTTGTTTTTGGAAAATTATTTCTCAAGATGATTAATTGATTATTTTAGTCCATTTAATTTAACTTCTAAATGTTCAAATGATTGGCTTGCAGCGGCATTTATTAAATTATTAATGAATGCTATATATAAAGATATCAACACCAGAATGTGTACATATACCGGATTATAAGAATAAAATTGACACTTATAGAAAAGTGTTTGCCTAAATTATAGTATTACATTGTGGCTAGTGACTTGTGTTTAAACCATTGTTGTGTCCTAACGCTTTGTGTTAAATTCGACCAAAACATGTATCCTAATTATTTGTGTTAGAATTGGCGTTGTGTCACCATTCGAATGCAGCAAACCCACATATTATATGTTATTAAGAAAATAATTTCTAGAACCATACAACAATATAAATGGTTGAACTAGCTACCAGCATTTCAGTTTAATAAAGATTTCACTTGACATGATTTGTACATCACTAAATTGTTGTACAATTCTCTAATCCAGTCTTTAAGAAAAAAGACAGGGTCATAAAAGGGTCCATTAGCCTTTCTATTGTTTTTTCATGAAAACGACCTCTCTTATGAGTCCAATCAAACCTAAAACCGAGGGTTTTAATCGCAACGTGTTACGTCGGAAGAAGAACATCAATATATACATCATAGTAAAGTTTTTTTTGGTTGAATACCAAAGTTAAACATATATTTTTTGTGATAAGTTAATCTTATAGATTTGGAATGTTTTAAGAAGATCTACATCGATCAATGCACAAACCAAATCTAGGGTTAGATACGCATAACATGAGGCTGAAAGGGAAATGTGAAATATATTCATGTGCTGGAGTGTAAAATTTGGTTTTTCATGTTTAATTAAATTAATTTGGTCAATTCTTTTTTTTTCCCTGTTGTTGTTGAAATCAGTCAATTCCTCTTTTAATGCAATTATGAAATGTCAGTGCATATTGATACAATAATTCTAAATAATAATTCCTCATGCTATTATTGTTTTCATATCTCTAATGTTTAATTAGCACTTTTCATCTCTAATTTAGATCATCCGATGTATTTGTATTTGAAAGATGGTTCTTATTTCATGGCATTTTTATTACAAGACTAACCACATGCTTCTTATAGTTATAGGAAAAACATAAGGAAATTAACGGATCATCAATTTTAATTAATAACAACAACATTTTTTAGGTTGAGAAGGAGACACAGTATGACAATCTCCTGCCGGGTACCCCGATGATAGGCAGTCCAGATTGCATTTATAATCATCATATGAAGGCGTACATGTATTAAAGCATTCGAGGCCATTTATCGTTGCTTTGATCTCTGCACATATATACACAATTAATCTAGCTATAATATATAACCACAACATGCCAAATTACATTTTCAAACTTTCCTATTCTTCTCAAAAATCTCCATTTTTTTAATATCGCTTCTGAAAATCTATATGATCAAAGATAGTTAACTAGTGTATGGTTGCAATAATTGTTATATATAAAAAGTACATGATGCCATAGCGTTTTGGGGCGATGAAACAACCAATATGACTACAAGAGAAAAAGTCACTAAGATTTTTGTAAAACCCATTATATTCTTCTTCTTCTTTTTGTTTGAAGTCTATAGGAGAAAAATGGTCTGCAATTTTTTAGATGTTGAATAAGCCCTATTTTATAGAACTATTAATCTTGGAATTGAACACATAAATCCCAAACAATCTCATTATACCACTCTTTTTCTATTTTCTTTTTGGGTAAAAATAATTTGAATAAACATTAACATAAAAATCTTGGGATTGAACAAGCTATTATTTACTTCCAAAACAATCTCAATACTTTTTCGTTGTTTTAAAACATTTATCGTCTTGGTATAATAAGTTAAGATATCTCATTTAGTTTTAGTAGTAAATCATCAAGAACCTTTTGAATCAAGTAGTACAATGATTCAAAAGGTTCTCATCACAATTAGCCTTTCATACTTGTTAATAATATATATATACTCCATATATATAAACATTTCTTTGTATATTTTGTGTAAAAATAATAGGGCCTATGTCTGTGTGAAAAATATGCATTGGAATCCACACAGAAAAGTGACATGGCCCCCAATCGGAGTTTTATTTGCATACCCAAATTGATTAGGGTTAATTAGAATTAATATTTTTGTTTATTCTAATCATCGTTGTATTTTAAAACAACTTGTTATCATGCATCTAGATCTATCTAGTAATATAAATCGATAACTAACTTTTGAGTTTTGCCCGTAGAAATTAAATAACAAACCACAAACGCCCCATGATGAATGAACAACATAACTAATCTGTTTAATTTCTTTACTTTATCTCTGTTTTTCTTTTATATCCTTCATAACTTCTTAGGATTCACAGATTCAGCACGGATATTATAATTCTCTCCAATCTGGCAATCTATGATATATGATTCACATCGATAATATCGAATCGTGTTGTGTAAGAAACTAATCATCATGATTTATTCAGGAAACCTCGATCGAGAGAGTGATATATGTAGTGGAGTTGAATCGGGCAAAGATTTTTCTCACCAAAATCTAGAGGGCATTTTAAAGTTTAATATAAGGAAAATGTGTACATAGATGCATGCATATGACGTGCCTGGCCTTTATAATAGTTTTATAAGTTTCATAGATGAACTTTAGATTTAGTTGATAATTATGAATTTCATGGCTCCTGGGATAAAGAGATTATTTATCCTATCGATGAGTACGTATAGTTCTATTTTCATTTATGAAGTAATAAAATTAAACTAAAAGCCACTAACATTGAGTAGACAAAGCCACTAAAACAACCTAGCTAGATGTAAAAAAATTATCGCATACTTGAGAGTCGTTTATACTTTATAGTGGTAAAACTTGTGATCATTATGCGTTCTATATATCTATACAACTTACAATATACAATTTCAAGGGAAAAAAAAAACCTTTTATAAGAAAACTAATACAGTCGTAATTTGAATCCAGTTAAACATAATTTGGATTCAGTTACAAAGGTTATCTGCTAAAAGCTATATAGGTATTATTTCGTTTTTATTTGAATAGAAATGTAATAGTACTCGTAAATGCAGTCGATAATTTTGACTATTGGCATGAAACGACCAAACCATTTATCATCATAAACACATTCTCAGACAAATATATTGCTCAAATCACGTGGTAGGAATATCAAATATGCATACCTACATAGATTAATTATAGCCAATCATTGAACACATTATAGCGTTTGAAATGAACGATTATATACTATACTTTAATTTAAACCAAAACAACAATAACAACAATCAGGAAAAAGAAAAAAGAACAATTTTGTTCGTTCAAATTAGTGCAGTTTTTGCTGTGAATCTCATGAGCCACGAGTTCCGGGCCCCCGGAACCATACTTAACCTTCTAAACATTTTCATCTTTTAACAAAAACAGAGAAACAAACAGTAAAATGAATATTATACTAGGTGCCAAAAGGATTAATTATTGGCTGCTAATATTTGTATATATGGCCATTATTATTGTTTTATTTTTCTGACAAATAATCTATCAGATTCTGCTATAGTCAGCTTCTCTTAATCAGGTATCTTTGAATTTTTTGCTTAAAGAAATCTAGTTGATTAAGAAAGCCAAACCCCATGTTACTATTTTCAGTTTAGCTCATTAGTAGCAACCTGATTATATATGCACTGGTATGACACAATATTTTCTTTATATCTCTACTAATTTTATGCTTCGAATATCAGATGGGTAACATGAAAATATTCCAAAACTAGCATATCTCTCCATTCCTCTATGTGTGTTACGGCTTGTTTGACCAACATATTATTGAATAGTAGCAAATTAGTTAGCATTTGAAGGCTAATAGTACTGTACACTCAAAATATATTTTAAGCGTGAAATTAAGGACCAAAGTCACCATAAGATAATATAGTTTTACATTAACAAGAAACAGATAATATAGTTTTTATTCATTTGTGACGTCGGCTTAACTTTGAGGGAAATCAAAATCAAAAGAAAAAAACACTTGGTTCACAATATTTGTTAGGAAAAAATCATTGCAGAAACACATTTATAGATATGCGTGTATATATTATAGAATGAAGAAAAGGGACAAAACAAATAGAAGATGATAAATGCAAACAAACCTCCATAACTGTAATAACTAAAAGAGTATGGGAAGACCATGTGATCAGATTCACATGTTTCTCCTCATCCTCCTCAGTGTCACACTCAGACTCAGACTCAGACTCATCAGGTGTTTTCACCATGGGTAAACTAACTTAACTATAACCCCATTCCATCAATATTCATTTTCCTTCAAAAACTATAATTAGAAATAGGGTATTCTCTAAGTTAGCATTTTTCAAAAAATATCACAACTTTTTAAAATACTTTAAATTACAGCAATCATTTTAAAGGTCTAAAACTACAATAAACATGTGGTTGATGCGTCAAATGATATTATACTACTGTCATTGATGCGACACTATCTAGGTTCAAACATGTATAATGCATGTTACTGACACCAAAAAAGGATGTTCGATACTTGTCAATTTACTACCTTTTTCCATTTCATTTTGACTGATGTATTAAACTTTAGTTTTAGGAAAATGCAACAAGACCATCCAAACTTGAACAATATCGCAAGGCCAATTATGAATCTCTGACCCAATAAGGGACTAAAGTTACAAAACTGATTTCTAATCTTTGTTCTACATAGAGAAGTTTCTTGCCTTACAAGTAAGATAGTGGCTGGCTTTAACATTACCACCACCCTGAAGATAATTAACGTATACGAATCAAATCAAAACATGCCCTATTAAAGCCTAGACGACGAAATCGATCAAGATACTACAAATCGTAAAACTGTGCAAGGGATTACTGTACAATCTCAGTCCTTCAGAAAGTGGAAATTCGGATTATCAGCGAGTTCCACAGCTGGTTTTACATTGGTAAAGTCTTTTTCTTGCATAGAGTTGGAGATTTCATCGGCTGCAAAGGGGATGCTGAGTTTCACAAAGACAATATTCAAGAGGTTATGGTGATGATGTTTGAACCATTCAGAGAAATTTACGCGATATTCTGAGATTTTCAATACCTGGAATCATTGTCTAACAAGAACGAACGACTGTCTTCGTCTTCATCTGTAATTAGAAGTTTCAAGTTGGAAATCACCTGCACACACCGAAATATGAAGCCAATGTGAGATTGGTAAAATGTATATTGGTTTATTTGAGAAATGTTCAGAGTAAACATACGTCTGGAGATACATTCTGATCCTCGTGATCATCAATTTTGCAGAGGATACATATTCTATACAATTGCTGAGTACTAAGAGCCTGAAAGATTAAAGAGAGATAAAAAGATCATAAGACGGTTAATATAACAAATCCCCTAAGCATTTTCCAGGCATGTTTTATTATATTTAAATACGATTTTTAGATCAGAGAAGCAGAGAGTAGTTACCGGGCAGAGGTTAGTCGTAAGATCATCATATGTAATTGTGGACTTCTGTTCTGTAACCTGGAAGAGGATTACGATGAAACAATCAGGAACAAGAAAGAAGCAAGAGTGTTGTGATGTTCATTTAAGTTGTTGTTATTTGGTTCATAAGAAACAGACCAAGAGCACTAAGGCTTGTCTTGTGTGTTTGAGTTCATCCCATGAAGATCCTACAAACTGCATTCAGGAGAACTTAATTGACAAGTGAAATCAAGCGATAGAAACCGTTTGGTTACTACAATCATTTAAAACAACTGAACTTACTTACCTCTTCAGTTGCCTGGCTACACCAAGACTCTAGTTCATTTAGCCAGACATTCATCTTCTTGCCCATGATGAATGTGCAGCATTCACGTTGCAGAAGGCTGCATTAGTTAGATTACAGCTTTAAGGTTATTGGCTGATGGTGGGTTAGGTGATTTTCACTCCGTTAAAGGTTGATGGGGGAATGTAAATAGTTTACCTGTTAAAGAGTTGAACGTTGACGTCTTGGAATGTTTGGCTGAAAATCTTCTGAGCAAGAAACAGAGGAACCTGAAAGAAGAAGTTTGTCAGAGTAGAAATCTCGAAGTAAACAGAAGCAAACACAATCTTTAATCCTCGAATACAGAGAAAAGTTCTTACGTAATTTTTCTTCAATGTGCTGAGAAGCCGATTTAAAAGATCTATGACGTCTTGCCAAGTTTTCGTGGGTGAATTCTCTTCAGATGGTTTTGCCAGTGAATTCTCTGTGGATGGCTTTGCCTGTGGATTCACTTCGGAAAGCTTTTCCTGTGGATTCTCTTCGGATAGCTTAGCCCGTGAGTTCTCTTCAGATGGCTTTGCTGGTGAATTATCTTCAGATGGCTTTGCTGGTGACTTATCTTCAGACAGCTTTGCTGGTGAATTATCTTCAGATGGCTTTGCTGATGAATTCTGTTCAGACAGCTTTGCCGGTGGATTCTCTTCAGATGGATTTTCTGGTGAATTCTGTTCAGATAACTCAGCTGATAAAGTCTCTGCAGAGGACTCATGTGATGATTCTTTCAGTCCCTGATCCATTAGTTGAGTACTAATAAGTGAGATGATCTTATCTTGCAGATATCATGATCTTAAAATTTTAATTAATTTTGAAGGGAACCATAAATAGTTCTACCTGAATGCAGGACGAAAGCACTGGGGCGAGTTCTCTCTTCACATTCTCTTGAAATATTCCATATATAGTTTCAATGTAGGCTGTAAGCTGCTGCTTGAAAAGTAAAGCAGGATATCGAGCATCTACTTGTTGCACTACATCACCTGAAAGGCTGGCCGAGGAAGTTGAACGGAAACCCTAAAACATATGGAAGTCATATTAGAGGAAATCCCACAAGACACAGAAACCCTTAAGTTAAAGCTTTATGGCCATTAGTATGCTTAAGGTATTCTTAGAGTCTATAAACAGGATTTTGTTACCTGTGTCATCCTCCCAAAAAAAGAAGTTGGCTGAGGAGGTTTCTTCGGACTTGCACCGGTTGTACTATGAGATTTCAAGCTTCTTTGAAGCAAGAACAGCAGTGTAGATGTGTTTGTTAGCCAATAAGCCAAATTGTTATCATCTTCTGGGTTCTGAAAGTATGTCAACGTATATCATGATGAAACGATATCTAAACCTTCAGGTTTCATATTGTCAGATAATCTGAGAAGTATATTTCAAGACATGATATTTCCATTGATTCTTTGACTATAAATACTATAAAAGCGATTACAATTTCCAGGTTACCTCTATAGCAGAACCAAAAACAGGAACAATACGGTCAAAGACACTGGTTTTCTCTGCTTCGAATAATTTCCAGTGTATGAGACATTTGTAAATAGTAAATGCTGCAACAGGCTTTCCGTGGCTGAAACCGACATTTTTCGAAACACATTTGAGAAGGACGTCAACAAATTCCTGCATCATAACAGCATAACATTAGTAATTAACCAATGCATATAAGTATCACAGTACTGTGACTGATGAATTCGTTCGGCACATACATGGGGTTGTTGTTCAATCTGAGATCGCCTAAAAGACATTGTCCCAAACCTTCTTGATGGTATAGGAGCAAATGATTCCTGTATGAAAGAGATTTCTATTATAAAGCTCTAGTAACAAAAACTTGCGAAGATGATTAAGTGTAAACAAGAACAGTTCATCTAGTTCTCACTTACATGACGTCCGTTCTCCACTGGCTGCAAGAGGTACGTGAAAAGGAAGAGGTCAAGAATTTTCTTGAAAAAATAATCTATATAAAGAATATGAGAAATTGCATAGAGGATATTTACCGGTGGTCTTGTAAATGACATCTGAGGTGACATTTTCCGGGAAGCTGAATTAGATAGCACTTGCTTCCTAAGAATTTTGTCTTCTGTTTCCATGTCAGAGACCTTTTCCTCGAGCCTAAAAGATAAGAGTAAATAAGTAATGCATACGTAGTTACTGTTGAAAATGCAAACATATATAGCAAAGAAAAGATTTAAAGATTGAAACTTTAGAGAGATAGAGAATGCAAATCGATAACCTTTGCATGGATGTTTTTAACTCGATTAGTTTTGTCTCTGTGTCTAAAACCTGCTTAAGCCTCTCTTCACAAAGTCTACTTGCTTCCTCATACTTCTTCTCTGTTTCATCTATTTTCTTTTCCAACAAATCTACCAGATCCTGTAGAATTTCCACAAATTAAGACAGACATAACCCACAAACTTTTAATGGAGAAGAATAGATGTTGTGGAAAACTAACGTATAAATCTTTGTTTTCGGCAGCAAGCTTGTTGGTCATTTCATCATCAATCAAAAACTCTTCTGCTAATCTCTCTTCTTCGAGCATGTGTGGTCCTTCCTTTTGCTCGTTTGATGATTCATTCCCATCGTTTTCATTATTTTCATTCTCTAATGAACTCACAAGTGCCTGAGAAATGTCATACATCAGATCAATGAGAAAAGCAAACATGAAAACACTAAAAGGAGCAGGAGTAGAGCTACATCGCTAAAACTTTACCTTGAGACGTTCATTCTCTGCTGCAAGATTACTCAACATCTCATAATCAGATGTAGCACTCTCTTTCAACTGATCTGAGATGTTTGAGCTTGTTACGTAATGCTTTCCGTCTAATGCGTCTATTTTCTTCTCCAATGTAGTGACCAATGCCTACGAAATGTTTTGCTTGATAAGATATCAATTATTGAGAGAAAACATTGAAATCTCAAATGAACCTCTTTTGCCACGAATCTGGATCGTCTATCATAAATCAATATCAAGAAATCCTACCTTCAATTTTTGATTTTCAGCTTCAAGTTTGATAATTACACCTTGATCAATTGCAGGAACCTCCTGTTTTACCCACTCTTCACTTAGCTTACCTGTTTCTTCATATTTAGTCTCGGATTCATCAATTTTCCTTTGCAATGAGCTCACCAAATCCTTAGAAGTTAGAAGAAAAATGAATAAGACAGAGAAACCACGATCATATATTTGAATATTTATGACCTTACCTTGAGCTGTTCATTTTCTGCAGCAAGATCATTTGTCATCTCCAACTCCTTAGCAAGTTCTTCAAATTCTAGTTGCATGTCTTGTAAAGCAGACTGCAACTTTAAAATCTCCTCACTTTTGGTTACTTGAGTTTCCCCTAGCTGAAGTTTCATATCATTTAAAGCTGACCGCAACTCTTCGACTTCTTGAGTTTTGGCTTCCTCAAGCTCCATCTGCATCAGTAGGCAGATCAGATGCCTCACACAGAAAAGGGAAACAGCAACAAAAGATCTAGTATTGCAAGTTATGTGAGATGTGTACCCTCATTTCTTTCTCAAGCTCTAAGCATGAAATGAGTTCTTCCACTTCCTTTTCTAGCTTAGTTTTAGCGTCTTGAAGGGCTCCTGTTTCCTTAGCAGCCTGGAAGACAAAGATATCTTAGGAAATCTTAGGAAATCTCAGAAAACATAAGAATCAGTGAATTTGAACATAAAACTGACTATAGATCATCAACTTGAGCTCTCAAAAGAGAACCTTGAAAGATACAAAAATACTGAGAGAAAATTGCAATCCACAAGTATACAATTTTTCAAGATCTTGATGACAATCATGTTGAAGATTCATGTACATCTCATAGAAGGTAGGATCATATAAATTAGGTTTAGAGAAAGTAAGAGCTTCTATTGTTAGCTAAGAAAGAATGTCACCATTTTAAGCTTCCGCAATTCTCGGTGTGCAACTTTCGCTCTCCAGCCACATTGAGTGGTAATAGCTGCTTTTCTCGTTCTCAAATACCGCAGTCGACACAAACATCTTCTGATTTGACTCTGAGGAATCAATAACTTACATGTTATTGATACACAAAAAAAATCAAGTATTTGACATCTTTAAGATAAGAAAAAGGGAGAGATCTTTATCATCAATATGAGGTTTTAAACTTGCTTGAATAATGATTGCCGCTTTTCTCTTCGTCCTGTATTGAACTTCAACTCGAGCAGCCATTGCACGCAACCCAGTCTGAATAGAAATAGCTGAAACACACAACTTTTTAAAGGCTGTCTGACATATATATGTCCGTGCCTGCTTCTGAATTCTCACAGAAGCAGCTTCTCTTCTCGTGGCCTTAAATTGAACGCGTGCAATATGTCCTGCAATCAGTTGGGAGAAGCCTTGTAAGACATGAGACTATATTTGACGCCAATAATCTACCCGATGAGCAATCACATAGAACATGTATTACCTCTACAAAAGGCTTGGATTTCAGTTGAAGCAGACTGCAACAGCAGATATTTTTTGCGAGACTGATACGTAAGGACTTTCCTCTGTATAATCCTTGCTGAATGCCCAAGAACTTCCGCTCGGTGAGCATCCAGTTCTGCCATCTGACCTGCCCTAAGAAACACCTTTGTCTTCCCTATCTGTGATTTAAAAATTTTAATGAATCTTGTGCAGTGTAACCATGTAACATATCCGAAGTGGCATTGCCAGTACCATTTGTATGTCTTTTTTTGGAAATCACAAATCCAGGAACTGTGAGATAAATATATGGAAACGCACCTGAAAACCTTTAAGGTCCACTCTTGCTAGAAGCTTTTTGCAAGCATCAACTTCATCAAAGCTTTAGAATATAAAGGCCAGAGAGAAAAGGGTTTATATCAGTCTAAAACCTTAACGTCTATTTAGCATTAGGCTAAGAATTTAACTGCAAAATAAGTATTGGAGAATCTACCTTCTCTCCGTTGCCTCTGGGGCCAAAATTCGGAACCTGGTTAAAAATTCATTGAAAGGCTTTCTAGTGGGATATCCAGCACAACTAATCCTAATGGCTTCCATGACCCCCTGAGGTTAGAAAAGTATGTTTCACAACATCATGTAAAGACCGAAAAATTGTCGCAGTTGCAAAAATGACAGTATATAGTTCTCTGAAACATTACGCTTACCCCACACCTAAGTTGATGCAGAACATTAACGTTCTCAAATATTTCTGGCTTAAGAACGTTATTTGGCTTAACACAACGTATGTAGTGTGGCTCTGTGGTGTTCAACGTCTCGAGCAGAGATTGTAGTTGTTGCTGTAATTTATTACATGGTGAGAATCACGGGCAAAAAAAAATATATGTAGAATTTAATGAATTTAATATCATTGTTAGACCTTGAATTGAGAGCCTATTGATGAGAACTTTGATGATTTGGAAGACTCCTCTCGCGATTTTGGGAACAACGATGAGACAAAGGAACAATCTGAAGAGTTCATGAGAGATTGATGTTCTCCAACAACATAATCTTTGTTCTTGTCTAAAAACAGTTCAGTCTGATAAGTGACCTGAAATTGAACATGAATACAGTCATTACACCGAATTTACATTTTGCCATTACTTCAAGACAAACATTTTAAGCACACACTCCTGTGGAAATTAAATCACTAACATCACCAGCATAATGGCAGATGGTAAAGTCTGTACGAGCCAATTTCGGCTTGGTAAAACGCTTGTGGCTACCAAATGTCTGGTATAGCTTTTCTGCCAGTGTATCATGTGTTGATCTTGGGAACATACTGTAGAGGCATACACAAACTCAGCCACTTATTGAAGAGGTATAAAAGAAATCAATGAAGAAAGAACATGACGCTTTGGTACATTACCAAGCCTCATCGAGAAGAGCAATGATTCCACCAGGTTTCTGACATTTAACAATTCTGTATTAGGTACTAGAAATCAATAAATATGTATGAAACTGGAACTGCTATAAAAGGTAATAAAGGTTCCAACACCACTCATTGTGGTACTACTTACCTTTTCTATAAGGTCAAGGACATCTTGATTATCAATGAACTCTATGTAACTCCAATCAATCTCTTCTTTAGTATATTCTTCTTGCTCCATCTTAAACACATGCTGTATAAGAGAGGAACGTATGAATGAATATGGTAAGCATAAAATTAGATCCATCAAGAATCAAAACTATGAAAAGAACATCAGTCTCCAACCTGATTGAAATGCTGCTGCAGCTTCTCGTTTGTCAGGTTTATACAAAACTGTTCAAAACTGCAAAAATGTGAAAAGAGAAAGACAACGTTGTAATTGTAACACATGCATTAGAACTGCTATCAATTGAACCACATAACAGCTAGGAACAATCAATAATGAGAATATTAATAATATTGTCCCAAACCAGAAAAAAATCTCTAGCTAAGTAACTAAAACTTAAGAAATCCAATAGTAAACCATCTGCTCAGTGTTTGAAGAAGACTAAATCAGAGAGCATATAGACAGCCATGCAGGAAGCAGTATAGGGGGTTAATAAATCAACTCGCAAAAGGAATTTGAACATTTTGGTAGCGTACCGGTTAAGCACCTGTTTGTCTTGAAACTCTCGAATCCATAAATATCCAGGACTCCAATTATGTACTTAGAACTTGGGTCTTGGCCAATGGAATTATTGATCTTAGTCACAAGCCTGGGAGCAATAAATTTGTAAGCTTTCAAAAAATATATATCCCAAGATTGATAATAAGCCCTTCGGAAAGAGTCCAATATTGTTACCCTACCAATCAAACAATTTAGAATAGACAATCTTGGCAAGAGCATCTCTGCTTAGTGCTGCACTACCGGGATCAAGAGGCTTTGTAATGCTTTCACCACGAGTCACCATCACCCTATTGCACAAGGAGTTCTCTAGAGCTTTCTCATCACACCTACCAAAATAGAGCAATCAGGGTTCTACCTCCCCTAGACAAGAAACTTGTTATCCGAGAACACATAATAGTGAAGCAAATACATGAAGAGTTCTGCAGCCACTTTTAGATGGAACCGGGATTTATCGTCCTTAGGTTCTGCAGCATCTGATTCTTCGCTCTTTCCAAACTCGATGTTTCCTAGATGAAGGATAGCAGCAACTACCCGAAAGATTGCATCCTGCAAAAGTAAAATGTAAGAAGAATTATCGTCATTACTGATCATGTCAATGAAAAAACAGAAAGTACCTGTTCTTCAGGACTAATCCCAACAACGTCCATAGCTTTCCTCGTAGCTAGGTATTCTTTGGAATCATCAAGTGCATCCAATGCATGGCAATTCGATTGATTTAAGTAGTGAAATGTGCTTGGTTTCCCTAACTTATACCGCTCAGTTTCCTGAAATTTCAGAACAGAAGCTAGTTTTCTGAGTATGAATCTCATATATGGTCAAGCACTGTACATACAGAGCCTTCATATGTTCGACCTGATGTACCCATACAAGGGACCATGTTTACCTGTTCTGGCGCAGCGCAAAGCATGTAAAAGCAATGATAGTTTCTTTCAGGATCAGAAACTTGACAAACTCGTGACCTCTCCAGCAAATATGTTCTAATAGCAGCTCCTGAGATTCTTCCCATATGATTGAACTGAATCTCCACAAATTTACCAAAACGACTGCAATATGAGATTTGCCTATATATGTCAAGTTTTGACTTCAAAAAAATACATAAACTGGAAAAATCAAGAAATGTGAATGACATTCTACCTTGAATTATTGTTTCTGACGGTTTTTGCATTACCAAAAGCTTCTAGAACTGGATTTGACTGCATAACAGGAACATAATACGAGAAGAATAAGAAGATATCTACAGAGAGAAATTCAGTGAGTCTGTCTTTAGTAAGAATGTGATGTATTGTAAACAGTCTATCTACCTCCAAAACTTGCTGTTCGACAGATCGTCCTTCACTCTCAGCTTTTCCACCCATGTATGCAAGATATTGCATGAGCATCTTTGTGCTCTCTGTCTTCCCAGCACCACTTTCTCCACTCACCAAGATCGCCTGGCTTACTCCCTCGTTGATCATTTTTCTAAATTTATATTCTTGATGATTGTGAGGCCCAAACAAATGGTAGTGGGACATTAGTTAAAGTTATATAGTCGCAACAGAAGATTACCTGTATGCAGAATCAGCAACTGCAAAAGGATGTGGGCTTAACTCGCCAAAATCTGTGCCCTTATATTGCTCCATTATCTCATTTCCATATAGGTGGGGTAATCTTTTAAAGGGATTCACAGCTATCAGTATATTCCCTGTGTATGTCTGTAACCACCAAGATCAAATTAGCTTGCTACACACAACAGAAAACCCATATTGATAATATAGCTATAATTGTGCAGAAAAATTAAGATCATAAGAATGAAAAGAGTTAACGAAAGAAGTCATTTCCGGCAAAAGAATGGTAGAAATCTAGTGAAAGAATTCATAAGTGGGTGAAATGAAAGAAGGAAAACTGACAAGGGTTACATGCTGAAGCGTACATATATTTCATTTGCATTGTATCTGGCTTTTAGATTGAGAAGAACCCCTGGTTCATGCAAATAGGCAAGCTTTGTCATGTCGTCCACACCAAGTTCAGGAAACTCAGGATCCTTGGGGTGGACAGCATTAACCTTTGCCACAACCTACAAACAAATGAATCACAAATATGAGCAATTTATGCTCACTAGTCACACTACCCATCTTCATGTACCTGAGGAACTAACACATTGTCTCGTTGCTTTGGAGAAAAGGGACTAACCGTCTTGGTTTGGCAATTAACTTTGATCTCTTGACCGTTAGCTTCCACAACTTCTCCATCTAGCCAGGCTTCATCTGAATCTTCCACCCAGACATGCGACCCCACAGTTACCTTTATGGTAGCAGCCTGATCAAAGTAATGTATAATAGAAGAGGAAAAGAAACAAAAAATCCTATGTCAAGCTCCATTAGCTGTTTTTTTATAACGAAATCAGCAAAAAAAAAAAGCTTTCTTCCTCTTATACACTTATAAGTAAACATTTCAACCAAACTAAAGGAGCTTCAAACGAATTTCATATATCGCACAAGGAAACTGAAAGAACACGGAGAAATCGCAATGCAGATTGGAGAAGAGAGACTCGTACCATAATCACGGCCAAATCTGGTCTGATTTTCCTAGAAACAATCCCGAATGAAGATTTCCAACGGGAGAAACATTATAAAAAATCCCTGAGAACCCAATCAGATGGTGTTTCCACACCATGGATCCAAACGCTAAATCAGACAAAAATAGTTCACCAACGCTTCTCTCTATACTAGCTTCAAAATCTCTGATCGACGTTAAATTAAGGCTACATTCACGTTTTGCGGACGAAATTTCTAATTTCTCCGACGATAACAGAGACCTTAAACCCTTCCGGCTTTTCCCTTTTCAATATTTCCCAGGAAAGCTGGAGATTCTCGCAGAACGTAAGAATTTTTTCGCGTTTTCCCTCGGAATTTTCTCTTCTGGTTTTCGTTTTTTTTCCCTTGTTTGATGCTTCATCTCTCTCTCCCTGGTTTCTGGACAAAGGAAGAGAGCAGAGAATCCACGTAGGCGTGTCACGTCACGTCAGAGTCAGACATTTAACTTTGTGATACCTAAACTACCCCTGTACTTAAACCGGATTTCAATTCGAACATTCTCCTGGACCAATCCGGTTTACGGTATTCGATTCTAATGGAGGAGATGATGACAACGTGGCGCAATTTGAGTGTGTCTATACATGGACCAGAATATTTTCTTCACTCTTCTGGCTTCGCCAGACGCTAATGGCGGATAGAGGAGCTCTTTTGTTACCGCGAGCTTCTATCATTCTTAGTTTCTCAAACCTCCATGTCTGGCAATTCCAAAACCCTAGATCTTATCTTCTCTCTCGTTCTCATCTTCTCTGTTTCTCTTCTTCACGCTCTAGAGTAGCTTCGGCGGAGATAATTCAGCTAAATCGACGGAGATTCAGCTATAAAATATGCGCCGCCGCGGATGACGGTAGGGGATACCGTTTGACGGAAAGGGGGAAAAGGGGGAAGAAACGGCGGGAGCTTTGGGAGGAACTCTTTGAAGATAATGTTGAAGACGACGATGACGATGTTGGTGGTGGTAATTTTGACCTGTGGAAGATTTTAGAGGAAATTGTAGATAATGTCTGGATTTTAAAGGTAATTTAGTTTCGATAAGTTTCATTTTTTTTTTAATTATGCATTTTAAGTCTTAATTATGAAATTAGCCTGACAAAAGAAAATGCCTTGCTGGTTTAAATTGGGAATCTACTACTGTTAATTGAAAATGCGGATTGATTAAAGTATCAAAATTGGTCCTTGGCTAATAATGGTTATGGAGATCAGTGAACATTGTTGTGCAGTGAATCTGAGCTAGTTTTGATTTCTAATGAGATGGATACTTGAGAATGTTCATATAGTACATGTAAATAAACACTAGATTAGTGTCTTTCTGTTCAAAAGTTGAGAAAAAATGTCTTGTTGATCTGTAGCTGCATTATATTTGCAACACTAGATTATGCTCTCTTATTGTTGGTGTGGATCTTTATTGTGTTTAGGCATTCAGATCGTATGGATATCTCCTGCCGTTCATCATCTTATCGCTTTTCTTCAGCACCGGACCCAAAGCCTTCCTCGTGTCACTATCCGTAGCCATCGTGCCATCATTGTTGTTTTACGCATTCCAGAAGTTGATTGGTTGGGATAAACGCAGAAAAACATCTATAGCAAATCAATTCGGGATAGAGGAAGAAGAAGAAGAAGTGGAGAGAAGAAGTAGCAGGATTCGATACAGCCCATCAACCGTTAGAAACAATGTCAATGGCCGCGGAGTTAACCGTAGTTCAGCTGGATTGGCTTCTAAGTTTGGTGGGTGGGACGAGTTAGACGGGCTAGGTACCATTCCCGAACAGCGAACAAGCGAACCGAAGAAGAAACCATTAACGAAGAGGAAGAGAGTAAGAAGAGAAAAAGCAGCAGAACCATTGTTGTTGAGATTATTGGTGTCCTTGTTTCCTTTCTTAAGCACTTAAACATGCTTAAGTGAAAAAGAAAAACAAAGAACATTTCGGTAAACCGAAAACAAAACCAAGTTGTTCAATCAAACCGAACCGAAATCAGTTAAAAATAGAGAATAATTAAGAACCGTTTAAAAAGCGAATGTGCCTCAATTTCAGTTTCAGCATTACCATTTCTTTCTTTTTCCATGACTTTCCTCTTATCAAGAACATTTATTTCTCTCACTCTCAGACCTTCTTGTTCGATTTCCATGGCGAATTTAACGACGAGCGCTAAAGCTCGCCTGAGAGGCGTTGTATTCGATATGGACGGAACCCTAACTGTTCCGGTCATCGATTTCGCCGCAATGTATAGAGCTGTTCTTGGTGAAGATGCCTACAAGCGAATCAAAGCAGAGAGTCCTAGTGGGATTGATATTCTGCATCATATAGAGTCGTGGAGCCCTGATAAACAGCAGAGAGCGTATGACATCATTGCTGATTATGAGAAACAGGGAATAGATAAGCTCCAAATCATGCCTGGTACGGATTCATCTGCTTGATTTTTGTTTGTTTGTGATGAGGAAGTGTTAGATTTGCGTTTTTCTTCTGTTAATCTATCGTAAAAGAAATTGAGAATTTCGTAGAATTAACAGTTGAGAAAAGATTGCAATTTCATGGCTGAAAGAGAAAATGAACATTTTTGTGTAAAGTGAAGACTTTTTGGTTTAATGGAGGTTTGACTTTTGGTTTACTAAATCGGATGCTTATTTTGTCTTAGATCCCCACATCACGATTTGAGATCTTTCATTGACTTTTTGCTGTTGAACATAAGTTAAGAGTTCTATAAGATGATTTAGCAGTTGAAAATCTACAAGTAGTACGGTGGTTCATTTATGTTGGTTTAATTCTCTTCTGATATGTGATCATTTATGTTGCAGGTGCTGCTCAACTATGTGGCTTTCTTGATTCCAAAAAGATCAAGTCGGTGGTTTTCAGATACTTCTGTCTATGAATTTTATTTATTTTTTGTCCTGATATCCATGCTCGATGTTAAGAAGATTACCAACTCTTGTTACATTTTGTATAAAATTTGTAGGAGAGGGCTAATTACACGCAATGTTCAGAAGGCAATCGACATCTTCCACCAACGTTTTGAGGTAAGAATGTTGAAACTCTTAGTCAAAAAATAGAATTGAAGACAGTTTGACAAATCTGTCTAACCGGCTCCCTGATCGGTTTTGCTGGGTCATTTTGTTTATTAGAGAGAAGAAATCTAAGGCAGTTCCTTACAATTATTTTTCATTGTATAGGTTATCTTTTCACCAGCACTAGGTAGAGAGTTTCGTCCATATAAACCAAACCCAGACCCGCTGTTGCATATATGTTCTACATGGGACATCCAACCTAATGAAGTTATGATGGTTGGTGACAGCTTAAAAGATGATGTGAGTGACAGACATGATGACAAACCTTCTCGGGTGACCCTTTCTGCATAGCAAATCGATAAGCAATGCCAAAAGAAGGTCCGCGTTCAAGCCCATGAAAGAAGCTTAAACACTTGACCTTCTCATGCCATTGCTTAAACATTTTCTATGTGGAAAGGATGCTCCCGGACTATGTTTCTTACATCTTGACTGAAGGTTACAACTGGTAATAGATCTTTCTTTACTCGATTCTGCAGATAGCATGTGGGAAACGAGCTGGAGCCTTCACTTGCTTGCTAGATGAAACCGGAAGGTATGGACCAGACGATTTTTCTGTTTCTGGTCTGCAACCTGATTTTAAGGTTGATTCCTTGTCCAAAATTCAGATCCTATTGGAGACGAATTTCGACCTGAACCCATAGTTTTTCCAAGTTCCTCATCATGTAGTTTCAGTGACCAAAAATAGTTTCCTACTGAACACAGTATCTGTTCAGGATAGCCATAAATGTCAAACAACATAATTCTATTCACTGGCTATCTTAAGTTGCACAATTGTGTTCCTGCACTGTCGTCTAACGAACATCTGTGTGGGGGCAAACATTGTTGTTTGTTAAATCCAAAATTTCAATTTGTTTTATATCATCTCTAATCTCTGAATGACTGAATCTGTTTCTTAGTAAGTCTTCCAACAATGATACATCTAGTGTGAATTTGAAATGTGATCTTGCTAAGGGGAAAAGACTTCTCAATCGCTAGTACTGTTTTTACAAGGAACCAAAGAACGCATATATATCTTCGAGAAGGTCCCAGTGGGGTCTTTTTGCTTCCCTAGCGTCTGGTTAGCACAGTCAGATCATGGCATATGTCTTTGTCGAATGATACAAACAAAACATTTATATTTGATGGTGATCTAATGCCATATTCCCAGAATAATGGCGATAACGAATAAGATCAACAAGGTAAAGTTGCCTCCGGGAAGAACCCATGACCTGCAAAATCAGAAGGTTTTGGTTTCATATGAATCCCAAAGATAGTTCAAGTGAAGAAACAGAGGACTACAGAAATATGTTTGGTGTTGTAGGGTGAAGTTACCTGAGCTTGTTTCTGGACTGTTGAATATAAGCCATTGCAGGAGGCAGGACACCAAAGAGGAAACAGTTTGCATAAACACCAGCAAAATCCAGAGCTCTCGAGAACGTTGAGGGAAAGAATGTTGCAATTAGAGCTGGAACTCCAAGGACAAATAGCATCACTACTGCTTCAAACCCATCACGAGCTCTTGGTGGTTCACTGTATGAGGCTCTCCCATTAGTTCTCTTATTACCCTCTTTCGATGAGAAACTTACAGACCCAAGTCTTCCATTTCCATTTGATTTCTTAGACACAAGCTTCCATGTATCGAGGAGCTGTTTCGGGAAGCTAACAGCGTATCCGATTAAACTGGTAGCTAAGGCTGAGAAAGCAAAGCCTTGAACAGCAGATAAAGCAGAAGGGTTCACAGATAGAAGAAGAGAGATTGGGTCAATGGATGAAGAAGGTACAGCAGGCACAGTGATTTTTGCAAGCCCCAAAACAATTAGATTCCAAGACAACACCATAGCCAATGGCACAACACCGCCTACAAGAATGGCTCTCCGAGCATCTGAAACCGAATCCCCTGCGAGATTGCATATGAAAGGAGTGATGACATGAAACCCTAGTGTCAGTACCATAACAGGAACCGCGGGTAAAACCGTCGAGACTTTCCAACATGATTGACCAAATGAGGCTAACACATTGGACCTAGCCACAGATAAACCAATGGCCACAAGTGAAGTTATAGAGAAGAGCATGAGGAAGCAGAGACCCCTGTTGGTGAAATCAATGGCATCGAAAGGGAAAAACCCAATCAAGACTCCAGAAACTAGAGGAAATATAGCATTGGCCAAGAGTGGATTCATGTAAGGAAACCATTGAGACACAATGGAGCCAATACCCGAGACACAAGCAACCATCAAAGAGAAACTCAGTGAAGCATACACAAAAGCCACAAAAACTCCAAATTTATTCCCAAAGGATTTAGTTGCAAGCCCTGTGAAGCTAACCTCAGCTGCATTGTCTTCTTCCATAGCAGCAAAGCTGAGCTCAGCCACGAGAAGAATAGAGGAAATGACGTAAACCCAAGAACAAAGTAAAGCAATGGTCGATGGGATTGAACCAGATCTGATAGTTGCAGCTGGGAGGCCGAGCATTCCGGGACCAACGGCGGTTCCGATGATCAAACTAACGGCAGCCCAGAAACTCTTTTGCTTCTTCGTTTCATGTGTAATCTCCAAATCATCGATTTTCTGTAAAGTCTCCGACTTTTCATCGTCGACGAACTCAGAAGAAACGGTAGTTGAGTGAGGTTCGTCGTAGTCTCTGCATTTGACAACGAAAGCTGAGTAAAGAGAGCCATTCTGCGAAATGGGTTTCCGGTAATCTTTGGTAAAGTGGTTTGGAGGCGAACTCCGAATATGACGACAGTCGGAAAACTTGGGAAAACTCCGGCGAGAAGAGAGTGTACGAAGAAGGACATTTTGGGGAAAAGGAATGGATTTTGAAAGTGTGGGCGTTGCTGCAATGGGATCTAGAGAATGTTGGCGAAAAGGAAGAGCCATTGATGCAATGTGTGAGATTCTCTGTCAAGTGGACCTGATTTGATTTTGTTGGTATCAAATTTTTGGAATCTTATTAAAGACTGTTTTGTGAAGATACCTATTTTACTCTTAAGGGCTTTTTCTAATAAACCAGACATGAGGGATTGGTCTAACCAAAAGGATTGGATTGGTTTAGAAACATTTCAAAGTTACAATATCTATCTAGCTATGCCTTTGATTGGAGTGGTCTAATCATTGGATTGATTACCATTTGTCCCACTAGACACAACCTAAAACCCAACTATTAACCAACCTTCATGTAAATAAAATATATTTTGTCAATCAATAATGAGTTGCACAAAACAGAGAATAAAACACTTGATTTCTAAATCAAAGAATGTCGGTAAACGACAAGACTTTAGAAGCAGCAGCAGCAGATTTGGCCTTGTCTTTGTTCAGTTCCGGTTGTTTGCTAAACCTATCTAAACAAACCGGAATTACAAAATAAAATAGCTATACTGAGTGATTGAACCGAAATTAAGAAAATACCAGATGGATAATAGAGTTTCATGTCACATGCAGTCAGTGGCGGACCCAGAAATAAATTTTACCCGGGTCAATACTTTAAAAAAAAATTATTTCATAAGCAAATAAAAAAAGAGTATATAAACTGCTGTTATTTTTAAATTTTTAAAAGTATATAAGACAAAAAGATATGCATTTAAGTTAAAATGGAAAAAAAAAAGACTAAAATGTCATTTGGGATGCTTGAACCCAGGTTTAGGTGTGTCAACAACTTAGAAAATACCAACTATGCTGTTGGAACTTTTGTTGCTTATAAACACTAAAATATATTTGATTAATTTACCAGGTCAGGTGACCCACATTTCTTGTAAGTGGGTCCGCTCCTGCATGCAGCAATTGTTTCTTTAAGATCGCAGGAGTTTCTTAAGAAAAAGGAAGAGAGATATTGAAACCTTAAGTTTACTAAAAAGGAAAAATATAAAACTAAAAATAGATACAAAATGAGATGTGTGTTGTTGTTTTAAAATTATGATTTGTAAGCGCATGTCATTCTCCAAAATCTCGCTTTTGAGGGTTGGGAGAGAGTAGAAGAGAAATATCAAATTTCCCTTCAAAAAAACCCTCTCAAGTTTTTTCTTGGATGTCACATGTTTCATGTGGAACAAGGCAGTTCTGTTTTTAAGTAAAAGTCATGGCGACAGATTCGTTCATCAAGTTAAATCCAATTTCCATTAACCGTCCCCGCTTCAACCTCAGAGAGTTTGCTGGCATAAGTCCTAAAAGCATCTCTTCTTTGTGCTGCATTAGCCCAAGAATGATATCTTGCAACCATTTCAGCCCGAGAACATTGATCTCCGGCGAGAATGATATCATATTGTTTCCCAAGAAAAAGATCCCCGCGTTTGTCCGATGTCAGGTTAGGTCAAAATTATCTGAAATTTTATATGTTCATTGATATATAGAAATAATAAATAGTTTTCTTGAATTGTTCAATCCAGACAAGTCTTGGGATTGGAAGGAACCAAAAATGGTGGGAGAAGGAACTGCAACCGAACATGAAGTCGGTGACATCACCGGAAGATCTTGTCGGTTCTTTACGTAACGCCGGAGATAAACTTTTCGTTGTGGATTTCTTCTCACCTAGCTGTGGTGGCTGCAAAGCTCTTCATCCCAAGGTGAACTGGTCTAAATCATCTCTAAAGAATTAACCGGAAACAGTTTTTTTATTCGAAAGACCTAAAAAAACTCTTTACCGAATTAAGCATTACCTATTTGTAGACGATTTGAACTAGATAGTAGCTAGATGTTATTATAGGATTGTTACTTTAGATATAGGAAAACTAGATTGAATTTCAAATCCTGGATTTTATATATTCATCGTAGATGTGACTTGGATATATATATTTTCAGATATGTAAAATTGCAGAGAAGAATCCGGAAGTAGAGTTTCTACAAGTGAATTATGAAGACCATAGAAGTTTATGTCAAAGTCTTAACGTTCATGTTCTTCCCTTCTTCCGCTTCTACCGCGGTTCCTCAGGCCGCGTTTGCAGCTTCAGTTGTACTAATGCCACGGTATGTACGATTCTATTCGTTTTTTTCTTCCGGCGTTCTTGTATTTTACATTTGTGATTTTCAAAAAAGGAACACGCAAACATAAAAGTTGCATAAGTCAAAACCTAACTCATTAACTAAACATGAATTTCACGTTTTTTTTTTTTTTTTGCAGATAAAGAAATTCAAGGAGGCATTAGAGAAGCATGGGAGGGAGCAATGTAGCATTGGAGAAACAAAGGGGCTTGAGGAGAAAGAACTTGTCGCCATGGCTGCAAATAAAGACCTATCGTTCGATTATAAATCCAAATCGATTGGAAATAGCCAAGAGCAAAAAGAAAAAGATATATTTCTCCCAAAATCTCCAACTTCGAATAAACAAAAAGAAGTAGAACATTCTCTACTAGTTAGTTCTGCATGAATGGTCTAGCGTTGTTGTTTTATTTGCGTAAGAGACACAATCTAGAGTAGTCGTCTGCATATGTGTAATAATGTAATGCAGGTTCATTTGGGGAAGGAATTACCATTGTGTTAAAGTTTGTTGTTTATGTAAATGAAGATAGACTCGTATGTATAATATTTTATCAGCGTGTAATCTCATTATTAATAATAAAACTAATGTATGTTGTCATGTTATTGGAAAGAAAAGAGTAGCGTAACACTAACACATGGCCAATTTATACGTGTCGAATTTACATGACATTGTGAGATGTGATATTTCAGACAAAGTTAAATAATTCACAATCGAATCAGCCAGATTCATAGTTTCGAGGAGTTTATGTAAGAATGGGACCCCACTCGTATCTTAAGAAAACAAAGACCTCCGTGAAGTGGGTCCCTTGAAAACAAAGTTAACGAACACAATAATCTAAGAAACTCATTGGTATTTATTTAAATTATTGATCATTCTTCTAGAATTTTCTCTATTAAAATCATACTAGGATCGGACCCGCGGTCCACCGCGGGAAAATATTAATTTACATACGTTGATTTTAATATTGTGCGTGTTTTTAGTAGAACGAATCGTGTAGTGTACTTATAAATATTCCTAATAACAAATTGTAAAGAAAATATTAAATTGTTTATAATTAAACCAATCATATTAATTATGATTTACAAAATGGAATTTTATGTTTTAGAATTCAAAAATTAGACGAATCATGGGAATGAAAGCAGTCAAAATAGGTCAAAAACCGCGGGTCGAGCCCAAATCATCTCACTATAGGGCAGATTTGGGCTAGGATTTGGGAAAATATATTAAATCCGCAAATAAGAGGGCCACATGGATTGATTCGCAGTGGGTCATCGGTTTTCGTCCACGGGTTGGCGGATCAACCCGCATGATAGTATATATCATGATAAAAATATAATTTATTCAACATGTGGTAGTTTAAAAAACTTTTAATAAATGAAATTATAATATTTATAAATATAATGATATATAAGATTATTTTCTCTAAAATTTTTTTAATTTATTTATTTTAGTAGAATTTTAAATTTTGGTTACTCTAAAATTATTTAAACAAAATCCACAGATAACCCCGCAAATCATCATACATTCTCGCGATGGGTTTGTGTTTCATATATGCTACCCGCGGGTCGTGCGGACAGACTAACTACATGCCAAAATATATTTTGCCTATTGCAAAACAGGCTTAACGGGACGAATCAACTCGTTTTGACAGCTCTAATAGAAATATTATTTAGTCATACAACACAATGAAATTTGGACATAGGAATAATAGAATATGTATTTTATTTGTTAGATGAGAGATTGAAAGGTGAAATATAATGATTAAAAAATAATTAATATTTTTCATGATTCACAAAATTTAATAAATATTTATCATCTTGTTGAATAATCCTAAAAATCATATTCAAGAAATCTTTATAATTTGAAAATTAAACTTCTTTGGTAAGCTATAAGTATGAAAATACCATAATTTTGATTTAATCTAATTAAATTAAAATTAGTTACATAGATTTCATATCTATTTAATTTACACGACCAAAATAAAAATATCTATTTAATTTATAAAATAGATGGGTTAGTTATGATAAACTTTCTAGAAATCTCTAGAAGCAAGGGAGATATCTTTTAATTAATGATGATAACAGGCTAAAATAAGCAAAATTAATGAGAAAAACGTTGATTGTTATGGAATTAGTTCCAAAATTATATGAACAAATATATTATACGTAATTAATGTATAATATTGTTCGGAATATGATTTTATAATTAGTTACCATAAGTACAATCAAATTTTATTTGATTTCCATAAATATTTGATTTTAGTTCGATTTTTCATTATTATTTCGAATTTATATTCCAAAATTTTTTTAAAGATCCGATTTCAGAATTTCGGGTCAATTTTCTGATTTTGACCCGACCCATTTACATTTGTACTTCTCTTTTAATAGTATAGAGATTCTTTGCTATGATTTTAATTTAATACTACAAATTTGACAAAATCTTCTTCCGTATCATTCTCTGATTCTAGAAAATTCTCTCTAAAATAGGGCTTTCTCGTAAAACACAAATAGAGTGCTAGTTTCACATGTGAACACGTTCTAAAGTTTGTATTAATCTAATGTTCACCACATTATTGTTGTGGCTAATTTTGTTTCCTTGTGGTCTAGTCTTCTTAAGAACCGACCCGTGAATTTCTCTCCTCTTTTCTCTCTGTTCCATCTTTTAAAAGTTTTTTCCCCCAGAATCCCTAAGTCAATACAAAAAAACAAAGCTTAAGAAGTCATTACGGAATCATGAACAATCATCCACTATTATCCATCTCAAACCCAGTCAAGTTCTTGAAACCACCAATTCCGTACGATATAAGCCTAAACACATCAGCCATTAACAGTAAACAGAGGCGGCAAAGCAAAACCCTTGTCGTGAAATCCAACAAAAGGTCAACAACAACACAATCATTGACTAGTAGTGTCTCCGTGGTTACAAGGAGAAACAACAATGGTGGTGATGAAACGACTCCGTTTAGGAAAGTGGGTAGAGATGATAAAGGACAAGCGGTTTTGTTGTGTGCTTTAGGGTATTGGGTTCAAGGGTCAAGGTGTTTCCCATGGCTTGCTCTTAACTTCCATATGGCTCATTGTCTTAATCTCAAGCCATCGACAATTCAGCTTGTGCAGTACACTGCTAGTCTTCCCATGGTGGCTAAGCCTCTCTATGGAGTTCTCTCTGATGTTCTCTACATTGGTGGTGCTCGTAGAGTTCCTTACATCTCCATTGGAGGTTAGTTTTCTTTCTCCAACTGTCCTGAAAAAAACGGTCGCTTTCGTATATTACTCTCTGCTCCAAATGGTCCAATTTAGTGTTGTCTCAGTGCTTTTGCAGGGGTTAGCATGGGGTTCATTGGCGATATTCCCGGCCGCTCGAGAAGTTCTTCCTTCACTTATGGCATTTGTTCTTCTTAGTAACCTTGGAGCTTCCATTACTGAAGTTTCTAAAGACGCTCTTGTTGCGGAATACGGTTTAAGATATCAGATGAATGGTCTTCAGTCTTATGCGCTTATGGCTTCCGCGGTTGGAGGAATCCTTGGAAACTTACTCGGTGGATATTGCTTACTCAAGACACCTCCTAGAATCTTGTTTCTTGCTTTTACAGCGTTGTTGTCTCTTCAGCTCATTGTTTCTCTATCCTCTAAAGAAGAATCTGTTAACTTGCCACCGATCAAAGAGGTAACTCCAGAGATAAGCTCTGTTTTGGGGATTGTAAAGAAACAGTTTTTGGATCTTATGGTAATTGTTCAGGCAGATGAAATCTCCCAGCCTTTAACTTGGATAGTAGCTTCCATTGCAATGGTCCCTCTTCTCTCTGGATCAGTCTTCGGCTACCAAACTCAAGTTCTAAACCTCGATCCTTCGGTTATTGGAATGTCAAAGGTTATTGGACAGTTGATGCTTCTCTGTTTAACCGTGGTTTATGACCGCTACTGGAAGACACTTCCCATGAGGCCATTGATCCATATCGTGCAACTCCTCTACGCCTTTTCGTTACTCTTCGATTATATCTTGGTGAAGCAAATAAATCTCGCGTTCGGGATCTCAAACACGGCTTTTGTGCTCTGTTGTTCTAGTGTAGCAGAAATTCTTTCACAGTTCAAGATTCTTCCTTTCTCTGTTTTGCTAGCAAACAAGTGCCCGGGAGGCTGCGAAGGATCCATTACCTCATTCCTTGCTTCAACTCTGTGTTTATCATCAGTTGTTAGCGCATTCGCTGGAGTTGGAATGGCTAATATGATCGGGATAACATCGAAGAATTACACAAACCTGCCAGCAGGAATTCTGATACAGTCTTTGGCAGCTTTGGTGCCTTTGTGGTTTATCCACTATGTTCCAATGTCAGAGCCTGGTTTTGAGAAAGAAGGAAAGAGAGCTATGAGTAAGAAAAGCAGAAGGAATAGACGAGTAGGGAGAGTCATAGGTCAGGAAGTTTTTGCTTACCGTCGGGAAAGAGAAACATAAACAAGAATCAGTCTGAGTTAATAGTTAGAGATAGTTCTTGAGCTGATATAACATTGTTTCTTGGGAGGAGAAGATTTTGTGCCCAAGTAACATAAAAATCCAAGAATGTCAAGAATCTCATAAATCCAATCAAAGCAATGTTACATCACAGTTCACACCAATCTTGGTGCAGCAACTCCAGGATTCTCTCCACTGTTTCATTCATTGTTCTTGGTTTGGAGACATGGGATCTCATCTCTTCCAAGAAGCCTGCAAGTTTAGCGGCAAGCCAACGCACAATGTAACATCTCGTTGTAGATATAAAAATGACATGGAAGTAAAATTAAAGTTTGTGTTAGACCATTTTGGATAGAAGAAATGAAATTGGTATATAATGAAAGAAAATTTAGGATGTGAATTAAAGTCTAGGTTAGACAATTTTAAATAGTAATGAAATTGGTATGTGATAGATTTTATAGCAAATTGGAATATTGCATAAGAAAATTAAGGGGAATTAGAAATTTCGGTGGGTGAGATTAAAGATTCCAATGATCTTGTGGTGGTGATTTAAGGAACCTAGAGGATTAGGTGTCACTTTAGGGATTAATGGTTTTAGCATGAAGGGTTATGTTAAACACTATGCTTGCTTTGTTTTGCATAGTTAAATTGTCTATTTAAGAGCAACTCTGACTTCTCTATAGCTTCATTACTCGAAATCCTCTCTTCCTCGTTGGCTCTTCCACCTCCGATCACCTACCATAACAAGTTTTTCTCCTCCTCTCTTGAGTCTTTATCTTCCTCTTTTCAATCATTTTGATCATCCTTGATGTTTCTATATCATGTAGGACACATGATAACAGTAAGAGAAAATGAGAAACCATCATCGTCAAAGTTCATTCTTTCGAGTAAACTCTTTTGGTAAGATTTCTAACACATCTAAACCATCCTCTAGAGCTTATATTTATATCATATTATAATATTTTTTCAACATTAAAATATAGGTGGAAGCCATAGATTCCAAGTTTATCAGAGTCAGACCCTTTGGTTTTCGCTGATCAACGATACGACGGTCAATGGCCAAGTCATACTCTCAACTTTTTCTAGTAAAGGTATCCGAATACACTGACTTTCTCTCATAATCTAAACAGGATCTTATGAATCTATTTTTAACATAAATTTTTAAGATTTTGATATGAATATCTAAGTGATCCGGGTCAAAAAAGTTTTAGTAAAAAAAAAAGTATAAAATTCTTCATATTTTTATTTTTGATAAGGGGTTAAAATTTATGTAAATTGATATAATCACTTTCAGAGATTTCATATATCAATATAAGAAAATGTATATTTAGATCAACCGCATAAGAAAAGGTATATGTATATTTTATGTTATAAATTGTTTAATCACTGTTGGGTAAAAAATATATTTTTATAACATAAACGAATATACATTTCCTTATATTAATATATGAAATCTTTGAAAGTGATTATATCATCATAAATTAATTTCTATTGTTTTATGTTTAAAATATTCTTTTAATATACTTCTGTATGTTGGCATATCTTGATTTCTTGATTCATCATTTTTCTTTGAGGAAAAAAATGACATCCAAAGATCTCATATATTAATATAAGGAAATATATATATATATATATATATATATATATTATGAATATATGTGGTATAAAATCTTATATAATGTATATTTATATGTGGTATAAAATATTTTTTGTTCATTTAAAAATAGAAAATATTTTATAACATAAAAAATACATTTTTATAATGGTATATGAAATCTTTCGAATTGATTTTTTCTCTTTTAAAAAAGTGATGAATAATGACATGCCACATAGGAGAATTATGTACTCAAAATATTTTCTAACATAAAAATATACATTACCTTTATTGATATATGAAATCTTCGGAAGGATTTCAATTTTGAATCACATAATAAAAAAGTTGTTTGTAAATTAAATGCTGGCTGATTTGATCTACTTCACCCTATAAATAGAAGAAGTTTTTTTTTTTTTGGTAAGCATAAATAGGAGAAGTTTTGAATATTCAGAATTGAATTAAAGTATTTCTTTCTATTTAACTAATGTGAAATAAACAAAACAGGGGAATGGTATTAATACAATTTCATTAATGTTTTAGAAAATATTAAATACTCTTGCAGGAGGAAATACAAAATATTGCAGTTCTTGTTAAGGTTCATGTTAACAATTTTGTTTTATAAATGCTACCAGTTTAAATAATAGATAAAGAAAACATAAGAAATGCATCAAAATTTGAAAATAAAAACCAAAAGTGCTGAAAGATTTTAAAATATATAGAAAATGATAATCTTTCCATTTATATTTTAATTATTTACAAAAAAAATTTCATTTTTGATAAAAATCGGTGAAATGAATGTGGTAATGAAATAATTTTTTTTGGTTATCTCATATAAAATAATATTTAAAAACAATAGTTGATTAAAATATAGAGATATAGAAAATTATATAGTTCATTACGTTATACATACACTAATTTGGTTTTCTTAAAACATATATATTTAAAAAATATTTATAATAGACGGTGGGTTAAATATAATGTATTATATGATGAAATGAGTTATGATCCTTATAACTATTTGAATATTTATATTTAAGTTCATACAATTATTTTAAAAAAATTCTTAATTTTATATTCTACAATAAAAAATAAAAAAAAATATTTTAATTTAAAAATAGTTTAATATAATATTTTACAGAATATCATAAATATTTAATAAATCAAAAGATAAAAGTTATAAATACTCTAATTTCCTTTTTCAAAGCATAAATATTTAAAATATTTATAACAAGTAGAAGGTTAAATGTAATGTATTATATGATAAAAAGAGTTATGATCTTTATAACCGAAACCAGATTAAGATTATATGATGAGATGAGTTAAATAAGGTTTGACACCTCTAAATATTTAAAATTTTGATTCTATAAGTATATATGAAAATAATGAATGATTGATTGTGCACACAATTTTTTTATTGGGATTCTAAAATATAAATATAGGTATGCACGAGTTGAATTTAATCTTATTATATACTAAAATATGTTTATTATATACGCAATTTTTTTCACTTACTACTAGCATATATCAAATACATACGTTTTATTTTTAACCAAAAAACGTAAAAAACCGTAAAAATCGAACTGTAACTAAACCGAATTACATACGGTTTCTATATCGTTTCACTTTCTACAAAACGAAAAAAACGATACTAAACCGAAAAACCGTACCCCACTCCTAATATTTTTCTCATCAACAATAAATAGACTCCTTATATGTCATTGTATTATGTAAAGAATATTAAATTATACTATAAAACAAACATAAACCACTTTATATAAATATTTAAAATTAAAATTTCATCATTAAGTCTAGATAATCGTAGTCAATAACAACACCTTATCTCTTTTGTTCCACACTGGTAAGAAAAAAATAAGTTGTATTATGATCTCACATCAAACTCGTCATATGTAAAGAGCAAAAATCAATGTTTAAAATGCACTTGGATTATTATTGAAAGTTGAAAGACAAAGGCCCGTTACGAGCCCAACCAAAAGTTCATAAGAACATACAAGAAAAGCAGACGATGAAACTTAAAACAACTAAAGGGACAAGTTTTTCCCGCAGATGGAAACAGAACCAAACCAGGTGAAGAACATCACATCATCACCTCCCAAGTGCATGACACAGAGAACCGCCACTTTTGATCAGATCACAAAAGCTTAGAAGCTTCCACCACGAAGACGGAGAACCAAGTGAAGAGTGGACTCCTTCTGGATGTTGTAATCTGCAAGAGTCCGACCATCCTCAAGCTGTTTTCCAGCGAAGATGAGTCTCTGCTGATCCGGAGGGATCCCTTCCTTGTCCTGAATCTTAGCCTTGACGTTATCAATTGTGTCTGAGCTCTCAACCTCCAGGGTAATAGTCTTGCCTGTCAATGTCTTCACAAAGATCTGCATACCACCACGCAGACGCAACACAAGGTGAAGGGTAGATTCCTTCTGAATGTTGTAATCAGCTAAAGTCCGACCATCCTCAAGCTGTTTACCAGCGAAGATGAGCCTCTGTTGGTCTGGTGGGATCCCTTCCTTGTCCTGAATCTTAGCCTTGACATTATCAATTGTGTCTGAGCTCTCCACCTCCAAAGTTATGGTCTTGCCGGTTAGGGTCTTCACAAAGATCTGCATACCACCTCTGAGACGAAGCACCAAATGGAGAGTAGACTCTTTCTGGATGTTGTAGTCAGCAAGAGTTCTTCCGTCCTCAAGCTGCTTACCGGCAAAGATAAGCCTCTGTTGGTCCGGAGGAATTCCTTCCTTGTCCTGGATCTTGGCTTTGACATTATCAATGGTGTCTGAACTCTCAACCTCGAGGGTAATTGTTTTACCAGTGAGGGTCTTCACAAAGATCTGCATACCACCACGAAGACGAAGGACAAGGTGAAGTGTCGACTCCTTCTGGATGTTGTAGTCAGCAAGAGTTCTTCCATCCTCAAGCTGCTTACCGGCAAAGATAAGCCTCTGCTGGTCCGGAGGGATTCCTTCTTTGTCCTGAATCTTTGCTTTGACGTTGTCAATAGTGTCAGAGCTCTCAACTTCCAAAGTAATGGTCTTGCCAGTCAGAGTCTTGACAAAGATCTGCATACCACCTCTTAAACGAAGAACCAAGTGGAGGGTTGATTCTTTCTGGATATTGTAATCGGCCAAGGTACGACCATCTTCTAGCTGTTTACCGGCGAAGATTAATCTCTGCTGGTCCGGAGGAATGCCTTCCTTGTCCTGAATCTTTGCCTTAACATTGTCGATGGTGTCAGAGCTCTCAACCTCGAGAGTGATGGTCTTGCCAGTGAGTGTTTTCACAAAGATTTGCATCTGAAATTTTAAAAGAGAACATGTAAAAATCGATCAGGGAACATATACCAAAGAGAAACGGAATTAAACACAAGAACCCAAAATCAAAGAGAATCGAACAAAGAAAACACAAAATTGAATAGATCGTCATAGAAAACCCTAATTTCCTTGAGAGAATTTCACAACCAAGCAAGACATTGAACAAATCTAAACGATATGCTTCATAAGAGAAAACGCAAGAAAGATGGAATATTTCAACAACATGCAAATCTGACGAGCAACTAATAGAGATTCTTAGTACTCGACATAAAATAAAGAAGCTGGGATTGAAGAAACGAGCAGATAATTTTCGAAATCAAATTGTTGAAAAATCCAAAATCGAAGATAAAAAAAGAAAACCAAAAGATCAGACGCCAAAACCCAGAACAAACAAATCAGAAGAAACATATACCTTGAAAGAGTCC